ATTTCTGACCAGTTGGTGAATATCTATAAAGATAAAACAGTGAGACTCAGAATGTTTTTTTTAAGTTGTTTAAATTCATTGTAGACACAGAAGGCCCTTTTATATCGAACACTAAATAACATTCAGCTAAAATTCTGAAACACAAACACATAAGCAATAGCGACCCCTCCTGTGTAAACTTATTTCATTCCCATGCCTTAAACAAGAAACGACATTACTCGGAGACTTTCACGGTTATTAACTGACAGTCGATCGGTTATGGCCTGACCGTATGCTATATTCCCCTCAGCCAGACTCTACTACTCTTCAATGTCGCCCCAATGTATAGAATATTTCTATTGATATCCTAAATAACCTTAATTTATTTTGAGAGTTTGTGGGGCAATGAACAGTCTGGCAATGACGTACTAGCCTACATCACCAAACCTGTGCCACTCCAGGATAGCTCTCCTGGACAGATATACAAAAAACCGAAGATGTCTAGCCTGGGTAATAGTCTGGGTGTTGTTTTGACTGGGCCATGAGCATCCTCCAATCCGATGCAGCGTTCTATAGCGCTGGATGAAGAGTCACGGTCACCTTTAACGATGTTGCTTTCCGTTTGTACATGGAGTTCCCTCAAGTCCTTGGTACTGTTCGATGCTTCACCACTCCTCTATCACCCCTTCAAATAGCAACGTGATTGATTGCACTGGGGCGAAGAGTGATCTTGAAGTTTAAGCAGATCTCAGCGACTCTGCGACCCGCTTAGGAGACCAATGGCATTTCTGGGTTGTTCTCAATCAGGCGTGCCGTCCCTCTGCAAGTTCCTTCTCAGTCTCCAAATTCTCCTGGGCTGCTGGAAATGGCACAGGGCAGGGAGGCATAAGTGGATGATATTAATCCTTTTAGAAGGAGATGGTGGGTAGGAGTCATGTACAAGACCTACATAACTGGGTGATCTGTCACACTGCTCTCCCCATGTACACTTCTCTGGCAGAGATGGCTTGACCCTTTTGGGTCACCTTGGGTATGTCTGGGTTTAGAGTCTTAATCAACTACCTCGGTCTGCCAGGACAACCTGTCTGCATTTTCGTTCTGTTTAGCTGGTCATAATGGATAGTGACGTATGGTTCCTGGGCCATGATGAAGGTAAAAACACATCCATAGCGGTATGTTGTCAGCTTTTCAGTGCCCAGGAAGTGGATATTAATCTCAACCATTTGTCAAGATTTGCCAAGTGTAAAAAAAATAAAATACTTAAGACAAACTACTAACTACTTTGTGTCATGTTTTTAGATTAGGAAAGAGAAATAAAAATAGACTACTGGAGAAAGGCAGATTTGGGGTGATAGTGCCACTTTAAGACCAAGTAGCTTAACTGGACGTTTGTTTTTTTTTCCCCTCTGTTCAGCTATTTTGGCCTTAAGCTTGAAAGTCACTTTGAATTCCAAACAATTCTCACTTTAGTGAAATATTTTTCCATGATACAGAAAACACAGAATATGGTGACATATTAAGACGTTTCTGAGCTATGCACAGAGACATAATCCCACACCCTGGTTGTATGACTTTAATCTTATTTTATGCTTGTATGTCTGTCCTGGGCATCGTATCTTGACAGCAAACTTTGGGGAGGGGAAAAAAGTGCAAAATTTATGATAAGATGGACTTGGAAATTCTCCAACTAAGCAATTTTTCAAACTTTGCTATTTTATCCTGCAGTTTGCAATTCACAGTTTAGTGGATAACATCATTAGTCACTAAACTTTGAATTGTTGGGAGTTCACCAGGGAATTGCAAATTTAAGGCCAAAGTAGCGGTTCTGGAAATTTACCAGGGTAGGAAACGTTTTCCACTGCAGCTATTTCCATATTGAGTAAATAAACCCCATACGTGCCAAGCAACAAACCCAAACAGTCCGCAGTACAATACCCATTGATTTCTGTAGCTCTGCTCGGGAAAACCCTCAAAGCACAGGGCACTGGACTCCTCAGGGTCCAAGGCTGCAAGTTGGCCCTCATTTACTTTTGAAGCAAGCCATAATTGAGGGTTTTAAATGTTTACTACAAGCAAATGCTGAGCTTATTAACAAGAGGTCAGCTGTAATCACCAAGTAGAAATAATTATGACTGGAGGTCAAAAGCAAAGGTTAATGCCGGTGAATTCCAAATAAAGTCAGGTAAACATTGTGCCATCAAGAAACAGGTCATATAAGTCAAAGTTATTTCACAAGAATGATTCTGCGGCTCTGGCAGAAATTAAGTGTCAGAATATGCCAACCTAGAAAGCACTTTCTCATAGTCGACAACAGACACATTGGATGCGAGTGGCATTCAATAAAGGGGCATGCTGGAGGCATTTTTGGATGGGTAGAAGATTCTATACACTTGTTGGTGTCTTAAGTATGACAATCACCTGAAAACAACAACTAACACCTTCTGGCAAAAGGAGAACATGTAGCAGAATTCACAGGATGGCAAAGGACACCATCCCATTTGTTCTGTCTCTCATACAGATGGAAGGAGAGCATGCTGGCAACACAGGAATGATTATCTAAACTCCCATGTATATGGTATAACGGTCTTCTTCATAGATACATACCGACCGACCGCATTCCTTATAGGATTGTGGACCAAGTTTTGTAGATAACAAACGGTCACTAAACATTGAACTGTAAAATTTTTCCAGTCCATCACAAATTAGTTTAAAATAGAGATTGAACAATCTTCCAACTGTGTGAAAGCCAAAGCTCTGCTGTTTATCATAATGAAAACAAAGAATATGAGAACAGACAAAAGCTTAGAGGAACATAATAGCTTGTCCTTCGGTTAGTCCCCGCTCACTTGTACCATTACAGAATGGACCTATACCATTTGCACATCAGACTGATCCCCACCCATAAGAGCAGTCCAGAACCGAAATGACTGCAAGTAATCTCTGCATGAGATACAGCAACCCTGGACAAACGTTTTGCCCGCCTTGGGGCCTCATCAGCAAGGTGTAGCTGATACCCCTCTAGGCACAGTGAGCACGAGGTCTACGTATGGATTACTCGAAGTTTAGAGATAGCCCAAAGCCCAAGTTAATGCATTGAAACAAAAAAACGAGAATTTGAGAACTCTGAGAACAAACAAAATCTTATAAAACCTCATGTCATATGTCATTCTTGAAACATGTATGCACCACTGCACTACAAAAATAAAGAATTTATATATAAAAGTCTTCTAGAAACTCATTATATTCTCATGTTTTTTTTTTTTTAACTCTTGGTTTAATTAATAAATCCATGTTTGGTTTTTGAACATGAATTGGGGCCAATAACACGGCATAAGATAAAATGCAATATTTAACGGAGTCCAATACAATTTAAAGTAGGAAAAATGATCTCACATTACCTCAACCACTAGGTGGAACAAGATGGATCCATAGATCCATTTGATATATATATATACACACACACACTGAATTTTTACTTATCTTCAGACCATTTTTCCCCAGCTCCTGTGATCATGTACCTGCTGTAGCATCATTGTTTCATCTCAACTAAATCTTCTGCTCCTGTAGTCTATGATTTTAAAAAGAAAACTCCAAGACTGATCAAGTGCTTTAGGGTTAAACTGCATATTTAAAATAGGAGGGGGGGGTTATTGCCTGTTCCTGTAGTCTGGTTTATAAAAGTACTGATTTCGAGACAAAATCAGCGGTGCTTAATTTTTTATTTTATTTTTTTACGTTTGTCACACTTTCCCAGCTGTCAGACAGCCGGGTTGTTTCCTGCCTCCCTTGCTTTGAACAGAAGTGATGGCCTGTGCCAGTTTTGACACTTGCCATTCACACATCACAGTGACCAATACTACAACTCTGTGAGACAAGCATGAGTGACCAGTCACATGCATGTGTGGTTTTTCCACAAGGCTCAAAGAGAAACTTCTGATCGGACTATGTCCAGCATAGACAAGGAGATCCGTGAAGAGCAAAAAAAAATGGAAGGGCTTCCAGTTGCTATACTGATTATGCAGCCAATTAAGTTATCTTTTCAAAGCATATCCAAATATTAAATACATGTATTTTAGGGGTGGGAGTATATATACACATACACTAAAATGGTTGAAATAAAATGTGTTCCTTTATGGTTCTAGCTCATTTAGTCGTAAATTCACGGACAATGTCAGCATTAACAACTCTGTCCATTCTCCTCTATCCACAGAACTTGTGGCCCCTATAGGTTTGTTGGATAAGCAAAAACAAACAAACCGTGAAAATCCCAAAGTGTAAGATTAGGAGCTGCTGGATCAACCATGTCTGGCAAATATACAAATAAAACTGCAGGGGATACAGAGGCCGAAAACTAAGCAATTTAGTTCAACCTTTGTCAATGGCGCACCATGCTGGATCAGCCATTTGCTTGGCTTCCTTTACCCCCGTTTAAGAAGTGCGTTGTCATGGAGTTGTGTAATTGTACACAATCGTATTGCTACTAGAATTAAGGAAAGGAAAACATTTTATATATTTTGTTAATTAAATCCTTTAGGCTTTCCCAGCAATGGCAGAATGTATTTAAGCTAAAAACCTTTCTATTTTAAGGAAGTTCGCTCAACATGAAAAACTGTAAAAGTCAGAACTACAAACGAATCTGCCTAAAATTAAAAGGACTGTTCAATAACTGCCACCTATTGGCTTTTCCCCCCACAAACAAACCAGCTGTGGATTGTGTTTTTGCTTATATACATTTCCGTTAACTTCATTCTACACTCCACAGTTTTGTATGCAAAGGTGCCACGAGGTTATATTCTAACATGTGGCACTGTGGAAGGAATACCAAAGCACTTTCTTGCCAAATGAGCACGAGTGCACCCTGGTTATCACGGAGAGATGGTGGCATCCACAACCATGTGTGCTGCAGAGAGAATTGTATTTGTACTCCCCTCCACTGCACACCTAAGGCTCAATAAAAGCTAAACAGCATTTATTTTTTGTTAATATCATTTATAATAAAAAAAACAAACAAAAAAAAAATGGATGAGTGAATTTTAGAATAAATATAGGGCTCTAAAGAAGAACATTTTTAAAAAAAGGTAGAAACTTTATTACATTAATTTAAAACAAGCAGTTCCTGGAAATAGAAAAAAAATAAACTGTGCAAAATTGGCTTTGTCCCCTTGGCTAAACATGTCCTTGAATTCACTTACATGGGAGACTTAAGGACACATGAACCAGTGTACAGTGCAAATAATGAGACTTGTGCTCCCAGTGTCTACATCCTGAAATCATGTCTGAATAGGCAGTGGTGTGCAACAGTTGAGGTTGTCATTGATTGCTTTATCATACGAGACTCTAAACAACGCTTCCCACGGAGCCCGAACAAACTCTGCAACTTCATTAGGCACCTGTGAATCCTGTGTCCATAGCAGCCAAGCAGTCTCTGTTCCTGGACGCTAGAGAGAAAAAATACATACTTTAAAAAACACAAAACCCAGAAAACCCATCTACAGGGTAGGATGTATACATCAGGAGAGAAAGCTAAAAGTACATGAGATGTTTGAAATATGTCTAAATTTAAGTGTTAAAAATAGATCTATTGGTTCTAGCAGCATTATTGTAAAAGTATGTATGTTTTCACGATTTCCTTGCACAGGTGCCACCAGAGCTGGGGAACGATTACTGGAGGTCTTATGCCAGATGCCCTCATAGAACTTTGTTCTGTGAGGGGCATGTGTGATGGTTGAGTGTTTTTATGAATGTGGGGAGACTGATTGTTGAGATGGTGGATTTGACCCCTCATACCAAAAGGTAAGGTGGAGATCCATGGTTGTACATGGTGGGAGCATTGTGGTTTTCATGTCCATCAGCTGCAAAATCACTTTAAAAGCTCTCACCCCCCTCCTAGCTGGGAATGTGAGGGAGCTGTTAAAGTGAACTGCACCCGATAGTGGTGCAAACGAAAATGCTCCCTTGAGGTAGTTAGGGCATGATCCACTCAGTCAGAGCCAGAGCTTCAGGCCCAAACAGAGGCCCCCTATAGAGTACGATCTGCCAAAAGTGTCACGGTCATTTAACATTATAGAATGTTAATGACATACTGTAAGGAAATCCCCATCATATTTACCTAGATCAAGTGTTTTAAATACTTGACAATTAGCTTGAAGTGGGGTGTGCTGAATTCTGACCTTTATAAAGTGTGCATGTTTAGAGGAGTACAGCTTGCTATTTGTATAAAAACTCTACACCATAATTTTATATATCAAGAAAGAACATGCAGTCCTACGATGACACCCAGAACCTAGCATGTTTATCCGATGACTCGCGTCAAGCGCAGTGAAAGTTCTATTGTTCATTTCGATTTCACAAGGCAAACACAAGTGGGAAGACAGCTCAGGTCCTTTGCTTTGTAAATTCCCTAAAAGCAATCCTTTCCCAATATTTCTGTTGATTTTTCCAGCAAAAAATTTACCACATTTAAACCATGCTTCAACACCATAAAAATGATTACATTTCAGCACTGTGGCAGCCTGGCAGTCAGAGGGTTAAGATCCAGGTAGACCATGCAGGTCAAAGTAGCTATAATTACTTTATGTAACTAACTTACTGCATAAAGGAGCAGTCAAGCATGTTATCCAGCCATAAACGCATTTCGTATCATTGGTGAGTGTGATCACACGGAGCATGAACCTTTGAAATATATCAGGAAGTAGCCACTAAAGGGATGTTTAAAAGGAACAGCAATGTAATATTTTATATTGCCAGACAAAAGAGAAAACATGTATGCTTAAAAATCACTACATTAAGCTATGGGGTGGTTTCAGTGCTTAGAGTGTCCTTTTAAATGCAGATTGCTCCAGTTTTAGGAGATTGCGGCACTACACGAACTAAAGATGTGTGCGCTTTGTCATACACAAAACAAGCTCCTGCCATGCATGGAGCTTAAAGGAAAGACTGGGAGGGAGTCCGGACAACTACATCGCTGATCTTAAAGATAAAACAAAAAAAGTGAACACCTTAAATTAACCAGTGGGTTTTGGAAGATTTAATAACCTTTGAAGAGAGGAAGTTGAGGAGAGTCATTTAGAGTAAATTTAAAGGGACCTTGTAGTCACCAGAACAACTACAGCTTAATGTATTTGTTCTGGTGAGTATAATAATTCCATTCAGGCTTTTTGCGGTAAACACTGTCTTTTCAGAGAAAAGGCAGCGTATATATTATCCCCTAGGGACACCTTCTGTGGAAACTCCTCAGATGGCCACTGGAGGTGCATCCTGTGGCAGTGCGGCATGGCTGCTCAGCATCTCCACACTCTGCATGGAGACGCTGAACTTTCCTCCTAGAGATGCATTCATTGCCGATTTAAGCCAATCCGATTTTTTACTATGGGAAAGCATTGGATTGGCTGAAATCATAAATTTGGATGAGGTCAGCAAGTAGGCGGACCGGAGGTGAGGCCAGCAACATAAGGTAAGTTTTATTACCTTTTAAGGAGGCTTAGAGGGAGCAAACCACCTAAATTGTGGTTTTAACATTATGCATGTATTCCTGACCCTATGTTATTCCTTTAAATATTTTGATATCTTTCTGTGAATGATGCCCGTCCAGAAAGATGTGTAAAGGTAAAATCTATATTAAATGGCCACCTTTCAGTTGTCACAAATGCAAAGCTTCATTTTTGGGGATTTGTAAGCAGGAAGGGTAAAAGCTGAATAGGACAGAAAAAGGAGGAAAGAGAAAATCTACATGTATACTGTGCATTTATAACATAATTAACCTTCTGAACTACATGCACATCCTTTCTAGTTATTTATCTCCTCCTTCTCCCAGAACACATGCTCATTAATAATTACTCCACTCCATTTCCTTAAGTATCCTTATCTCAGTTTGTCCTTTCCTCCCTCACAAATACCTCACAGCTGCTCGAAGCTGGGTCAGTAAGAGGCAAAGAATGTGTAGAAATGAAAACACAATGCCCAGACGGACATTCTCAGCACATCGCTGCAGCCTATGCAGATTCAAACTGTGGTTTTATTATTTATAAAGCGCCAACAAATATCCGTATTGCTGTACAATGGGGTACTTATAATTGTGGAAACATGTTTATCGGTCATGTAGGGTTACACATACCAGTCAACACAATGATTTATCAGGCCAACTCTAACCGTTTAAATTGGCACCACCTGGGGACATTGCAAAAACATTCAAAAGGCGACATCGCCACTGGGGGGGGTCCAGCATTGAGATCTATGGAGGATCCAGCGAGATCCTCCATAGACAGAGCCAATTCCCTGCAGCAGTCATTAGTGACGACTGTCGGCATTGACACGGTGGCTCCGCCAAGTGTCTAAGAAAGTCAAGCGTAGGAAAAATACGAAGACAAATTAGTTCCTTTTTGCCTTATTTTAGTTAGAGATAAAAAAAAAAGTAAAAAAACAAAAAGGGAAGACTGTAGGAAAGAGGAAAAGAAGAGAAAGCGATTGGGTAAGTACAGAGTGAAAGCACTGCTCTAAGAACGTCGTGTACACTACATGTAATAATGCACAGTACTTGGCGTCCACTGTGACACTAGCCCGTGTACTATAAATTCAGATTGCCATACAAGGAATGTCTAAGGCAGCTTCAACATGGATGCTGTCCAGGAGGAGGGAGGGTCTGCTGGAGATTGGCCGGGATGTGTCAGCTGACCGGAGTTCGCCGCGAACGGTTCGTGGCGAACCGTTCACGAGAAGTTCGCGGACGGTTCGCGACATCTCTACTGGTGACTTCTCCTCCCCATCCGACATCGGCTCCCAAATGGATCGGAATGCACATGTGCGGCAAGAGCAGCGCGCGCATTCAAACAGTCTATAGGAAAGAATTTCTCAATGCTTTACTATGGACGTTCTGCACGCTGAATGAGATTTCCGCATCCAGGGTTGCAGAAGCGCCTCTAGCAGCTGTCAGGAAGCCAGTCACTAGAGGCTGGATTAACCCTGCAATGTCAACTGCTATGTTTACATCTGAAGGGTTAAAACCTGGGGGACCTGGCACCCAGACCACTTTATTGAGCTGAAGTGGTCTCGGTGACTATAGTATCCCTTTAAGTAATTTGAGGAATTTTAGCAGAATGAGAATGAGGCAAAAAAGAGTCAGACTTTGGCAACCAAGTACGCAACTAGGGAGCATTGCTGATGTTTAACATACCTCGTTATGTATCCGGATGTGGAAATGACAGGGATGAGATGGGAATAAGTGCACGGCACAGACAGCAACAATGGGTTCTTTCTCTTTAATTCGGAAGGATTCTGGACAGTTTGCGAGGTCGTTCGATTCAGCTGGAGGAGAGGGATTCCAATGGTGTGCATCCTCCAGCACATACGCATGTGTGTGTGTAATCAGCAGAGATACTGGCTTGGCAGAGGATTCTCTCTGTGCCAAGGTTGCACCAAATGCAAGATCACAGTCTGGCAAATTGTCCCTGGCTAGGTTGACAACATCCACTAAAAAAAAAAAACAAAAGGAGAGGGATTTAAACTTTTTTTATTACTACAATATAGAATAAAAAATGCTGCAGTGAAGATTGTAACTTACGCCAAACCCACCAACCTGTCAAGCAAAAGACAGCAGGGACGTTAATGCAATGACAAAACAATCAGTGCCAAAGATTTTTAATCTCATAGTCCGGAGAACCGACAAATGTATAACACAATGCAGAGCCTTTCCACACCTGGCAAAACACTATTTCAATAATCCTTTTTACCATGTGTTTAAAGAACTACAAATTGGTGGATTTTCCATTGACATTCAGCTTATTGACGTGGCGTTAATGCACCAGTGATTTTAAATAAGGCAAAGCACACACACAATATACAAACATCATGAATTCTGTAACTGCACATACACAACTAGAATGTTTGAGAATCCACACATGGGAGGCAGCTCAGTGTATCCAGACAGCATATTCTGTAGAAGAGACCAAAGACTACCTTTAAAGAATATATCAAGCACTGTAACTAGTACAGCCTGCTGTGGTGGTTATAGTGCCAGGAGGGCCCTGGTGCTGTCCCAGTGTAATTGGTCAAACCATTTAAGCATGGTTCAATGCTAACCTGGGTCCCACTCTGTTTGGTTTTCTCAGAGCTGAAGAAAACAGATGACTGTTTTGTTCAAAACAAGAACTCAAACTCATTTGTTGGCTCAAAACTTTCAGCTGACGATCTCAGCCAATGAATGCTTGTGTATATTGGCATCAAGCTTCTTCCTGCCAAGACTGGAAGCAGTGCGGTGCAGACGATTAAATGGTTTGACAGATTTTGCTAGGGTGGATACACCTGGCACCATAACCACTACAAATGGGTTGTAGAAAATATAGTGCTTGGAGAGTGTTCCTTTAGATTTGAGAAATCGGTTGCTACATATTAGTAAAAAGTTATATCAGCTGTTAAGCCAAACAAAGATAAAAGCAGAATCAAGACTGGGAAAAATCTGCAAAAATTAGGAGCTGGGCAAATTTAACAACATTTTAGATTAATTTAAGATTTATAGGGAAGGCAAAAAAAACAAAAAAACACAAAACAAACAAAAGCACACTACTGCTACTTGGCAAATTTTAATGGTTAGACATTTATTTAACGCAGTGAAAACACCTGCAATGTTTAAATAAATAAATAGAAACATGTACAGATGGCAATCCTCTATAGCAGGGGTAGGCAACCTTTGGCACTCCAGAGGTTTACTACATCTTCTATAATTCTGGCAAAGCATCATGGGAGATATAGTCCAAAACATCTGGAGTGCCAAAGATTGCCAACCCCTGTGCTACAGAGAATACTGCTTGAATCAGGAGTCTATCTGAACACATATAGCAGTGCTCCACATGCCACTGGAATTTAGTAACATCTGTGGTAAAAAAAAAAAAAAAAAAAAGAGGAGAATAGAAGGTAGCGCCACTAAAAACCACATAAATTAAGAGAGCATAGAGTAGGCAGACTAAAACACAAGATATATAATAGATAATAAACAAATAGAAGTCCAGAATAAATAGTCTGACTGGTAGGTGAATCAAACAACGAGGTATATCTTTGTAGAGGTGAATAGTCTTTAGTAGTGGGGATTCTTCAGAGTGGTGTAGATGCCTCTTTGTACATCATATTAAATAAAAAAAAACAACAACTGATGGTGTGGTATGTCCCGAAAGGGGTAGAAACAAAGGGGTAGAAATCAACACCAGGGCTAAGTCCATAGCTCTTGAAAACGTGAGTAGGACCATATACTCTTATTGTTTCTACCCCTTTCGGGACATACTACACCATCAGTTGTTATTTTTTTTTCATTTCATATGATGTACAAAGACGCATCTACACCACTCTGAAGAATCCCCCACTACTAAAGACTATTCACCTCTACAAAGATATACCTCGTTGTTTGATTCACCTACCAGTCAGACTATTTATTCTGGACTTCTATTTGTTTATTATCTATTATATATATCTTGCGTTTTAGTCTGCCTACTCTATGCTCTTTTAATTTATGTGGTTTCTAGTACCATTTCTGTTGTAAGGCCTTGAGGGAGCCCTACTTTTAGGTGTGCTGCCACCTTTTACTTATTTTATTATTGTTTCGGTTGTATTTTGTATAGATAGAGAGCGTTGAACCCTTTCTTCCGTTCTATACATCTGTGGTTTTGTAACACAACAAGCAGATAGATTTTTCAATGAACAGAAATTCCTTCTGAGATTCTATTTTGTTGTTTGAGGGCTTTGGGAAAAGTTGGAAGATACATATATCCAGGTACACTATATGGACAAAAGTATTGGAAACCTGATCATTACACCAACAGCAGCCTTTACGACATTGCATTCTAAATACATAGACATTAATATGTAGTTGGTCCCCCCTTTGCAGCTAAAACAGCCTCAGCTCTTCTGGGAAGGCTTTTCACAAGATTGTGGAGTGTTTCTATGGTATTTTTTGCCCATTCATCCAGTAGAGCATTTGTGAGGTCAGGCAGTGAGGTTGGATGAGAAGGCATGGATTGCGATCTCTGTTGCAGTTCATCCCAAAGGTGTGTGACGTGACTGAGGTCAGGGCTCTGTGTGAGCCAGTCTTGTTCTTCCACACCGAACTCATCCAACCATGTCTCTATGGACCTTGCTTTGTGCACTGTGGCACCGTCATGCTGTGAAAGAAAATATCCAGATACGTATGATTCGTCACTCCACAGAACACGTTTAAACTGCTCCAGTCCAGGGGCAGTGTGCTTTACACCGGTCAATCTGATGCTCGGCATTGTACTTGGTGATGTCAGCCTTGCACGCAGCTTCTCAGCCCATTCCAAAGTGCTCTTGCCGCACAGTTTTTGTGCCAATATTAATGCCAGTGAAAGTTTCAGCTCTTCCACTATGGAACCAGCAGAGCATTGGCGACCTTTACGCACCATGCGCCTCTGTACTTTGTGACCCAGCTCTGTGACTTTACGTGGTCATTTGCTTCGTGGTAGAGTTGCCGTTGTTGCTAAATGCTTCCACTTTACAATAATACCATAAACAGTTGATCGTGGAATATTAGGGATGCAATTTCACTAACTGACTTATTGTAAAGTTGGCATCGTAACACAGTACACTATGCTTAAATTCACGACCAATTTATTTTTACAAATGTTTGTAAATGCAGATTGCATGGCTTTTTTTGCTTGATTTTATACACCGATGGCAATAAGAGTGTGTCCCAATACGTTTTGTCCACATAGTGAATACAGAGGTCCAGTTTGTAGAACATAAAATAAAAAGAAAGAAAAAAAATCTGCTTACCTTTTAGGAAAGACACAGTTATATACATAAACTCAGGGGGAGTTTCAGCTCCTGGCTGAGCACATAAAAGCGGCCTTGTAAGAGAAGGAGAAAGAACGATGTGAGAGTGAGAAATAATATTCCTATCTAGCCCGCTCCAATATCATCATTCTTGGGTGGCTACATAGTCTATCTTCAATGTATGAACAAATCATTAAGACAAAATATAGGGGTCATGTTATATGTACTATATTCCAAACCCATTTTGTATACTTTTAAGGTACAAGGCTTTTTGTAGGTCTAAATCTAAGCGCTCACCTTGCAACATCAAGGCAAATCTTTTAGGCATGTCCAAAGCTATGGCAAACTCTGCTTGCCAACCACAAAGGCTTTGTAGTGTAGGACCCATCTAACAGGTTTCCCTTAATGCGGACAGCTGAGCTTGCACTTTAATATATATTACAGTCATTGTTTTCTTTATCTCAAGCCAGGCTTGGCCATTCTTGATCTAGAGTGGAAGACTGTCTAGTCCCTGTCTGGTAATAAAACTGAAGAAAAAGTCTTACCAGATGCGGTGCTGTGGTGTGACCACCTCTTCAGGAATTTGCACAAGACTTTTTAGATATCGTGGCGGTAACTCCGAAAGGGTGTCTGCAAACAATAAACCAGGTTCACATTAACCTCAGTAATAAAACACACACTATCCCCCATAAATATCTAAAGGAAGAATCTCAAAACAGACACCAGCTCAGGCCTTACCCAGAATGTTCTGACTGAACATTGTGGTGTACGTTCGATTTCCAATCAGAAGGGTATAGGCAGCGTCAGGGCCATCAAAGCCAAGATGCAGCATCTGCTGGTTCAAGCCGATCTGCATGTGTGTGAACAAGTCGAGGCTGTACACATCTCCAGGCTTCACCCAGTTACATGGTGATCCCCTACAAGAGCAAATCTGTTATTTTAAGCAGACTTTACACCCCCATAAGTAACACAGCAAACATCTCCTTGCCCTTTACATACCTGATTTCACCTCTAATCTCTAAGAAATAGATTTTCTGGTTTGACACAACTACCAGACCACAAAAATGAGAGGCTTTACCAAAACGAACAACAGGGACCTAGAATGCAAAATTAAAAAAAAACAAAAAAAAAAAAACGCATTCAAATGTGAAGGATATCATTGTGACACTAAAGAAATAGGAAATAAAAACAGAAAACAGCATGCAGACTGCCAATTCCCGACACCAGCAATCGGTTTTAATAGTGAATTAGGGGTTGAGGTGAGACATTAAAGTGACAGTAAGTACAATAACTACTAAAGCTTATAGTAGTTTGGTGTAAGCAGACCTTGGGCACCATATTACGGGGGAATCTAAGCTTTAATATAAAACTGCTAGAACATTAGAATTATAGTACTATATTATAGTACTATACTACGACTATAAGTTGGATTGATTGAGTGTCCCTTTAACTAAAGACACAGCTTTTAGTGAGGTAGATTCACAAGTATTAAAGACATCCCTGAGGTTTCTTAAAGAGAGACACCGGATAATCGCACAGTAGAAAATGTGTATATAGGGACCCTAACCTTAGCCTCACCTTAAAGCAGCATTGGTATTCCTCCTGGTGTTCTACGATTATTTCAAAATCAAGATGGAACTTGAGACGATGATCCACCAATCGAAAATCTAAAGTCTGAAAAGAACCTACAAGAGAATTTTTAATTAATCAAACGCACTAAGAAAGCACTAGCCGCTCAATTGCCACTTGTCTCCAGACCCAGGTAAATTCAACTAGTATTGTTTATAACTTACGTTGTCATTTTAGAGTGCGCCCTATGAATGTATGTTACCCAATGTTTGAAAAATGCAAGTCTGCTTTTATAAACCCCATACATTTACTAAATACTACTCACTAAGAATGAAATAGTTTTTTCCCCTCAAATGTTAGAATGATGTTCAGATACAATTAGCAGAGAATGCTGGAAAATATAGTCAAAAATTTGTTGCTGCTTAGATGGCCCACATACCCGGTCACAGATAACAAATACGTTCCATACTCCCTCCCTTCAGTTCATGTTAAAAGCTGCAAATTTGGCACATACGAACCTGGGGTAAGCTGCCATGGCTGCTCTACTTCATGGACTGATTGGCTTGATGGAGGGGATGGAGAGCTGGATTTGGAGCTTCCCGTTAGAGTATTCCCACTACTGAATGAAGCACGCTTTAGTGCCTGCCGTACGCGGTCTAAGGTGTTTAACACTCCGCTCTCTGCACCGTTGCATGGTCCAGGGCTGTCCGTTTCCTCCTCAGAGGGAGAAGACTTCTGCTCTTCCCGGTCAGGGTAGGCACCACGTGGAGAGTTAACAAAGCTTCTCTCTTCAGGGGGCGGTGAAAATATAACATATGAACTACCACAGCCAGGGCACGTATCCACAACTGGAAAAGAAAGAACATTATAGAAGGTTATCATCCTGTGCATCCTGTATACCGAAAACTCTGTTTACGGACAACTGCAATCCCAACACTTAGATTTTAGCCTGAACTATAAGTAAGGGAGTATTCAAATTAAAGGGTGGCTCCAACCAAAACACGGTTTTAATAGATCACAATAGTCGTAGTTACCTGAAGGAGAACCTGGTGGTGAGTCACGCACTTTGTTTATCCCGTTTATTTTACCATTCACTGCATTATTGCATTCTTCTAGGCCAAATATTTTGTAACACTTTAGACACCGGTATAACGGTTTTGGCTTTGCAGCCTCTTTTCTCTCCTTCTCTTTCTTGTTTTCCTCAATGATGGGACGCAAAGCATCGCACAGCATCTAAACCAATAGGACAAGGTAAACATGTAGTTAAAGAGTAGTAGTCAACAGGCAAACAAAAAAGCATTTTGTTAATCAATCTTACAACCTATGCTCATGTTATTTTGAAAAGACGTTCTCAATCCCGGTCTCACTGCCCACAATTCCTTGTAACTCAAGTGATTGGTCAAAAACAAATCACTGCAACTGTCCTGCTCCACGGACTGCATGTCTGCTCTTGTACAGATCTAAATGACGTGCGTGTATATATATATATATATATATATATATATATATATATATATATATATATATATATATAAATAAAAATGGTAGGTAACAGCACTCTAAGGACTTCAAAAAGTAAATGGTGAAAAAAACTTAGCTTTTATTCAGCAACTGCCACACACAATCGACGTTTCAGTTCTTAATACAGAACTTTCAACAGGATAAGGTGCATTACACAAACCAACATCAATGTATGTGTGTGTATATGTATGTATGTATGTATGTATATATATATATATATATATATATATATATATATATATATATATATATATATATATATATATATATATACACACACACACACACACACACACACACATCACTACTGGGGTAAAAAGACAGGTCAAATGCAGTACAAATAAGCCAATTTCATGGGATTGCTTGGGAAACTACCATTCATTTTCCAGAAATATTGGCATTAGCATTATCTGGCTGTGGAAAACATTAGCACTTTGGTACTGCCGATTTCACACATCCTCCCTAGCTTGTGTCGATTTGGTAGCTTTGAAAGGGTTATAAACAATTCGGCACTGCTGAATCAGGATTATACCTATAAAAGTTTTGGATGAGAATGACAGTAATCCTAAAATTTGCTTGGTCAAAAAAAAAGAAAAAGAAAAAAAAAGGAGGAAGGACTGTAACCATAGTCTCTCCATTTGCTTGTAAATGAAATGTTAAACAAAATTGCAGTTTGTTCCACGTGAAAAATCGAGGAGAGTGGGGTAGTACTCTGAAGCTAAACTCCTTCCTTTTTAGATGGTCTTACCTTTGCAGAGTCGTCTGGAGAATCATCCAGCACCACATACTGCGCCTTCTTTCTCTCCTCAATTACCGAGTCAAAGAAAAGAGTAATGAGCGGAAATTCCTGCACTTCATCCTACAGAAACAGACATTGTTTGAGGAAATGAAAAACGTGGCTCCAACAAGAAAACATTTTAAAACTCAAAGGAAAGTTGAAAGGAGAAGGGCACATTGGGAGGGAGGACCCAAACACATTGTCAGCCAGTAAAAGGCCCATAGATGGTGAAATTAATAAAAAATAAAAATTCCCAGACAGCTATAAAGAATTGACAATGTTGGTAACAAGAACTTCTAATACGTGAGCATAAAGCATGGATTAATCCCAATGATCCTTCTGTTACTCATTATTAGCCTAGACATGCAGTATATGCAGGATGATGAGAGGTGTGATAATGCACGTGAATGGTACTCCATGCACTAAAACAGACAGGAAAGGCTTCACAACTCCTACAGGACAGGGTGACTGCATTGCTCAGAAAGTTCGTCTTATGCAATCAGGCTTGACGTTTGTCATATTCATTCAGAGACTGCACGCAATAACTTTGCTAAAGCAGTACAGCTAATATTCTCTTTCCTAAAGATCTGTAGATTCAGGAAAAAATTAATTATAAAACAATGGTGCTGCAGATATTAGGCCAGAGCTACTGCTCCAGATAAAAATGGCTTTATTCTATACATATTTTAGCATATCAAATCTTATGTTTCTAGAACGATGTGATGGCATATAACCCATTGTAAAGCGCTACGGAATTGTTGACGCTATATAAAAATAATAACAGTGTTCTAAAAGGCACAGGATGTGCAAGGTTTTGTTGAGACTAGGTCCCAATTCAGTGTTGTCGTGGAGTACGTCTGAAGAATTTATCCTGTACTTTGTCCATCAGTCCCAGACGATGAGTCCGTGTGACCACTCGTCCATTTTGCAGTGGTGGACTGTCTATATGTGGCATATGTCGCCATTATGGTTGAGACTTGACATTACATAATTTTACAATGTTTGTGTCCGATACTCCCAGCAATTTAGGAAATATGGGCTTTTAAAAAATCTGATTGCTACTGCAAGTAGCTTTGAAAACTTCCACACCAAAGTAGCTGGCATTAGACCTATTTTACAATGGACACATATTGCCAAGTGGAAAACGTTTAAATACAACTCCGCTTCGTAGCTGCATTTGTAATTGTAACTTTGTAAGTGAACTACTGCCATTTTTAGGAAATATTACAATTTGCTTTACTCCATCGTTACCTTCCAGGTCCAGGGTATCACAGATGTCTTAACATCCATGAGGTTGGACAGGTGCCTTTTGGTCAATAACTGTCCTCTATCCAGGGCGATCTCAAAGAAGCACTCTCGAGTCAGATGGAAAAAAATAAAAGGCCAATCACTATAACACGGGCGCCCATCCTGGATTGGGGACACAGCTACTGGGGGACCCAGTGGATCTGAGGAGCAAAAAACGGACACTGAAAAGTTTGCAAAGCACAGAATGAAAGTGTCTACACAACAGGAAATATGTACTCTAACAAGAAAGCCATGCCTTTTCACTGAAAGTGCTTAAATAATCAATCATATATCATCAGATTTTTACAGTGATATATTGCTGGTGAGCTAGGCTTTCTCCCTCTTTTGTCTACTCTTCTGCATACTTTCTTCCTTCCCAGGGTATAAAATCTCCTTTTCAATCTCTCTCTCCCCCCCCCCTTTAATGCATTTTAGTAACCTCATATTTAAATTGTACTACTCTACCAAACATATTAGTGCTTGAAAAAGAAAGGATATTAAATCAGAATCAACATTATGTGACACACAACTTACCAACTATTTCATATTTGTCTTCTTCAGCCGCCCTAGCTGCTACATCTCCCCAAGAGAAGCCATCATCATCATCGTCGTCATCCAGCAACTTAACTTCTGTCACATCTGTGTTATTTGGTTCCTGACACACCTCCACAAGTGGTTCAGGCAACTCTTGTGTGGGGGAGGGACTGGTCTGCTTGGTCTCTACAGGGGTTTCCATATTCTTGAAGAAAGGCTCAGCATCCAATGGAGACTGGCTGACTGGGAGAAGACTCTCGATCTGGGGGTTATCTTCATTAAGCTCCCTCTCCAGGTGATCTCTGTACTGCAGCCAGTCAGCACCATACTGATTCCGAAAACTCTCCGTCCGTTCGATAACTTTTTGGTGCTGCAAAACAGGCTCTGTAACGATGTTGGAGAGTTAAAAGTAAATGCAGTGGCAACGGGAAAAGCAAAATTCTTGTGAATTATTCACATTGTTCGAACCATTCAATATATAAAAGGACATGGCCAGAAGAATATGGTGGACAGGTGGAAGACATGGGTAGAGGAAAGCAGAGTAATGCGTGTGCAAGACACAGTTATTATGCCAAAAAAAAAAAAAAAAAAATCTAGAAATAGTGTTGGTAGATTGAATGAAACCTCTATCCTACGGACCACCAAAGGTTATGGCCACTTCTCTGGATGTGTGGGTATCAAAAGCAATGCCCATATTGACAGATGAAGAAACATCAAAAAATATAAGACATCAAAACACAACTTTGACTTCCGAAACAGAATCATAAGTATCTATAGTGTGCAGTCTCAACAGAGCAAAACTCGCATGTACTAAAAATGCCAATCACAGTCAAACCAAACGTATTCTTAAAGTTAATCTTCTGTTTAATTATAATGTCCCTTTAATAATGAAACTAACATTTTTCATTTTGTTATCACTTTATAAAGAAGAGAAAATCAATCACATTTATCCATCTGCAAATTTTGCAATGATCAGGTTGGTTTAAACATGCGGACAGAAAAGATGATAATGGCTCTCTGGACTGCACAACAACATGAGATGCAGTGCCATAGCTGTAATACACAAACTTAAACATAGTTAGTAGGCACTCACGTTTTTTCAGTCGCCGTCTGTCACAGTCATTGTCACTGGGCTCAGAAATACTGGCCGTACGAACTTTAACCTAAAAAAAATAAAAAAATAAAATAAAAAAAATAAAAAACCAGAAGATGGCTGTAGTTCCAAACCTACACGTAGCCTTTTCTACCGTTGCCAGGTGTTACGGCAAACTTGGCGTCTCACCTTGGATTTTTTCCGTGGCAGTGAGGAAGCTTTTGTTTCCACTCCTGAACAGCTGTCCAATAATTCTACTGGAGAGGGACTGCTATTTGTAGAGTTGGGAATCTCATCTTCAGCTTTCTAATGGGGGGAAGTTACAAGTATAAACAAAAACTCATGAATGCACACAGGAAGACTAACAAAACCAATGCAATCTGTTGAACTGCTTTTAGCTGCACAAAGCCCAAAAAGCAGTCCGTGATTTAAAAGACACATCAACACAAGACACAGAAACCAGCACACTCACTAAAACACCAGCTAAAAAGCTTACCCCATGTAATAGTTTTTAAAAACACCTGACATCGGCAGAAATAAAGTGGATTTAGTTACAATATGCAATCTTGCATTGCATACGCCTGACACAACAACAATGTACCCCAGCCTTGGCAGGTCCTCTCCTAGCAACCCAATGCCTGCTCTTATTAGAGTAAGGGATACACTGGTGCTGGATTCTGTGTAGAAACAGATAGAGAGAGACAGCCTTTTCAACATCTTTTGTAAATCTATTTTCTAGACCAGGGATGACAAAAAGGTAGATCCCCAGATGTAGAACTACAACGCCCATAATGCTTTGCATGTCTTTAAAACAGAGGAGGATCACTGAAGCTGTAGTTTTAAAACATCCTGGGATCGATCTTTTGGGCACTCCTGTTCTAGACAGACCAGGCACACAAAATAAACCAAGATAAAAAAAAAAAACAACAAAAAACAAACAAACACAAATGGGACTTTTAATAGATAATGTTTGTAAGGACTTACCATTGACTCTAAGGAAATCATTAAGTATCCATCCAGGAACATCTGCAGTAAAATCAGACAGCAAAATAGATTAATGGGAGGTTAGTGAGAGCGAGGGAAAGGAGTTACCCCAATAAACCTCATTCATAAACTCACCTTGTTTAGGGTGCGAGGGGACAGATATTGCACGGTTAGTAGCTGATGATCCTTGTGATAGTATAGCGGGTTGCCTTCAAGGAAGAGCTATGACAGAAGATAAGAAGTGAGTGATAGAAATAACCTGCCCCCTCCTCCCAGCACACAAAGGGTTTGGCTATTTAAACATGCCAGGCCTTATAAAAAGACAACAGGATGGGTCAAAAAGATGACCCTTTCCCACATTCCACAGAAGCTCAAAGAAGATCACAAATCCATTTATAGGCCACTCTGCATTGAAAATCTTAAAATTGTCATTTTTATTTTTAAAACAACTCTTCAATTGGTGTATTATCTGCTTAGTTCCCATTTTGGGTATGAAAATTTTGCAAATATTCAGTTATGTTATGTAAACTGGAATAATTAAGGAGATAATTTAAGTTGTAGCAGATACTTCATAAAGTTAAAAATAAATGGAGAAAAAAAAAAAATAAAAAAAAAAAAAATTTTTTAAAAAAATTCACAAACCCCCTCCCTCCCCCAAAACCCCCATCACCTCCACACAAAGATTTGTGATTTTACCACAAACAATAGCCGTGGATCAGAAAAGCCTAAAAATAGAACATTAAAACTATATCTTTCTTTAAAAAGCTAACAATCAAAATGTCCCTTTGTTCGTGACCAAATTTGCTACAATATACATAATAAATAAATAAATATGTTAAAATGACAGACTTGTGTATAACATTTCCCAGAATGCTGTGCAGTGGATAGATACAAATGCACAAGTGAAAGGCAAATCAGGATTTCAGCATTTAACATGCATTCCAAAATGCTTCAGTTTTATTGTGGATGTTGGACTTTGACGTACAGGTCAAATATCATCATAGCCTTTTCAATAACAACATAACCACGGCTAACGTACACCTTCACTGCATTCCTATGGCCAAATACAGAGTGCTGCATTCAACATAACTTTACAAACTTCTCACATTTTTCATTCTTGAAAGCTAACGTGATAGAAAATGTAAAAACCGAAAATTTATAGGAACTCTTAAAGGACCATTCTAGGCACCCAGACCACTTCAGCCTAATGAAGTGGTCTGGGTGCCTGGTCCATCTAGGGTTAACCCATTTTTTTTTTATAAACATAGCAGTTTCAGAGTATAGTGGTCCTTTAAGTTATAAAAAAAAGAAATCTATCATAGTTATTACCAACATCTATTTTATTCCCTACATACTCCTGCGAAAATCCAGAGATAAAACATGCTTTAAAATATCTTGTGCAAAGCCAGGTGGTATAACAATTAAAGCTGTATTTTGCCTGTTTAAGTTGATCAATCCTCTTTGGGTCTTGCCTTGGTTAAATACAATAGACACCTGATAGAGAATACCTGCTTGAATTACCACTCAATCTTCGTTTGAGGGATCATAAACTAGCACAAGAAAGTGCACACAGTCATGTTTATGTACATGTTGGGTCATGGCAGGTGCTCAGGTACCAATTCTTACCTTTCTCAAGCTGTGCAGCTTGGTCAGGCCTTTTAGTTGTTTATGATCATGCAGGAGATTATAGGATAAATCCAAGTGTTGCAGGTTTGTGAGATGTTCAAGTCCTGTTGGGGAAAATTGTCAAGTAGTTACTCACTGAAGAAAGACTCGCTAAATGCCACTTTCCATAAGACAGTCTCTACCCTTGTACATACAGACTGACCGCTAGTGGTGGCTAGCTGGTTATGTCTCAGGACAAGAGTTTGCAGGGTGGCTGTAGCAGCTGTACTAATCTCTGGTACTGAGGTCAGCAGATTAAACCCCAAATTCAGGTAACGGAGCTCTTCAAGTACCTAGTACAAAAAGAAATAGAATATGCTAAGTACTGGAGGCAATTCTATTCAATAGCACATTATCCAGACAAAGGTAAATGCTAATTATTTAACATCTCAACATGGTTATTCTAATGCTTAATGCTGCTGGGAGGGAGTGGGAGATACACCACCTTTAAATAGGATTCACAGTCTTTGATATGGTTGTGGCTTAGATCCAGAGTCTTCAAGCTGTTTAACAATTCCTGAAATTAGAAATACAAAGAGACTGAGCTTTTAAACAAAAGCAGAGGAAAAAAACAAAACAAAAAAAAACTAGTTCAGCAATTAGTACCACAAATGTGATAAAGGAAACCTGACACAAGCATTATTCCAAATAGATAGGAAAATAATGCTGCCCTTACACACAAACAAGTTGCATAAAAAAAGGGTTTATTATACACACATATTTTGACATTTTTTGTTGCATTTGAACATACCAGTGAACCATCTAATTTGCAGATCATGTTGTAGCTGAAATTCAGAGTGTGTAACTCCAGCCAGGCCAGGGCCAATGTCAGATCCCCAGCACAGAGGGAGATCACTTCCTGGAGATACATTGAACAATAAACCAATATTACATATGCCAACACATTCGTTAACACTCAACAACTGCATATTATGGCAGAACCTTTTAGACAATTTGCCAGTTCTCGCCCCAATTCCCAGTTGGGACTGCAATTCCCAGAATACTTTGCCAGAGAAATGCCAGTTGAGAACAGGAAGTGTATTCTAAGGCAGAGAAGTAAAATGGAGCACCAAAGGTTGCTTTTTTTGTGGAGTTTCAAACAAACAAAAAACATTTTAAGTTTCTAAAGGACAGGGCAGAAACTATGAAATTTGGTTTATATAAGATATATACAGGGATACGTGGAAATATAGAAACAATTGCTCACATATCTAATAGTGGAAAACCACCAGGTCTACATTTCAGAAAAGCCCATGGATAGGAATGAATACTATAAAAACTGAATATGCAGTCCAGAGGGATCTTAAGATCATGAGAATGCACGTCACAAATAGTGGCAGTGCCCACCAAGGTTGGTCATCATTGTCAAACACAATACACAAGCTCTGGAATACCACTTTATCCCCAATACCATGAACAACCGATAGTGTATCCTTGCACCACATGCAAATCTTTTTATTTTATATATGAATGGGGCATTGCATAGCGGCTCCTGGTATGTATATCTGGCACCTTAGTGGTTTTGCATTCACACGTCTAAACCAGTTTCTGCCCTGCTAAATTAAGTTTATCATTTAGTAAAACCTGATTCTCTTGTATAATGAGCAAAATCGTGATCAATGCTCCCTCCCCCACCTCCACTCATTGACAAAGGGAATTCTAGAGAAGCTTAATAAGCTCTGTCAATGAAAAGACCCAACTGACAGTAGTAAAGAGATGTCTTAAACATAACAATAAGTACCACAGACTAGCAAAGGAACAGCAGGAATCTTCTGTAATGGAGTCAAAATTCTCCGACTGATCAAACTGTTGCCTTTCTTTTCTTTGAAATGTACACATTTTAGAATGTAATCATTCCAGTCCACAGAAATAAACAAAAAACAAGCACAAACACAATGTTATAACAAATACAAATTAAAAAAAATAAAATAAGTATTCTTAGACTACATCAAGAGAGGACAAGGGTGCAAGTTTGGATGTACTTAACCTTAATTTCTAATGTATTAGATTCTTTATAACGTTTTTCAATTTTTTTGAGTTTGTAGGAAATTCGTAGGCTTTTCAGCTTCTGCAGTAATTTTTTTAACAAGATTAAGAATCTAAAAAATGTTCAGCCAATCCTGATGCTCCGATATCTTTCTTTGTAAGTTTTGCAAATAACTCAAACCCCTGCGTAGCAGAATATGGGAGTTGTAGTACAGCTAACGGAAAAGCTGCATCCACAGCTGCAAAAAGCTTGTTTCGTAAAAAATCACGAATTAAGCCATTTCCACAAGGCAATAGAAAAGTAAAAATAAAAGTAATTGCCAGCAGCTTGGCAAGCACAGTATATAAAGTTATAACTGATGGCGATGGCTGAATAAGCAATAATAAAATGGTAAATCTAGCCACAGCTAAAGTGTAACAAGGTCATCTTAAGTGGTGGCTGCACACCAACACTTTCCTAAGGCTGATTATAAATAGATCCTGTAGCTTTTAGAACGGTAAGAGGTGACCGCTAAGACGACGGATGAGAAGAGCTGTTTTAAAATGTTCTTCTGCAAATTTCATAGTAAATCTACCCCAAGGTTTGTTTGTTTTTTACCATCTACTCACCTGTAAGGTCGTAATACATTTGAAGCAGATTAGTACTTCCAGTCGAGAATACACAGATCTCAAGCCATAGAGGCAGTGTGGCGGGAGAAAGCGCAACTGTAAGATGAATTTAGGATTAGTCATATTGGTTAAATTATCTGGTAGAATATAACACTTTATCTATATTGTGCCAGCAGGTGTATTTCCCAGCATGCACTATGATTTATAGTATGGGCAAAAAATATAATAGGAATATAAGGACACTATGGATCCTTATGGTTCGTCACTAAAACACCAAAGTGTAAAACTGATGCTATAATAGCTAAGTAAAGAAAATGGAACTTGAAGCAGAAAAACCTGGCTACGCTACAACAATATACAGGGAAAAATTATACAAATTAGCTACTTTAGCCAAAAAAATTGTAAATGTGGTTTAAAATTTGCGGTTAAGTAAATAAACCATCTATCCCACAGAGCTTACGATCAAAATAAAGAATGGGTGATATTTACAAACAAAAACAGGGAACTTAAAGTCCCATTAAGTGAACAGCTGTGGTTTCAGGTACAGATTTCAATACAGAACTATAAACATACAGTGGATCATTTAATAGATTGAGTAGAAAGGGGAGATGGGTCTAAAGACACTCTTTACAGCCAAATAAGGATTCCTTATAATCCATAAATAAGGATTCTTTAGGAGCTAGTTTGCTAAAGCAATGCTCTATAGTAAAGTTTGCTCCCCAGCATTCTCACCTCAAGGCATTTAAGAGACTTGAATGGGAAGATAGTCACATCAAGCTGATCAGGGGAGTCTGCTGAATGAACCAGCTGAAAGAGAGAAGGAAACAACATGGACTTAAAAAAAAGTAAGTTTTTTTTTTTTGTTTTTTTTTTATATAATCGGAGACTATGGGTAAACTGGTCTAGCCACAAAAAAATAGTTTTAAAAAAAATATATATATTTATAGAGGTATTAATATTATTAAAATATTTCCCCCCCATGACCAGTGAGTGGCTTATAAAAGAACCATGGTAATTGTAGTTCACTGGAAGCAGGAGATGGTGTTAGAACATACCTGCTTGAAAGTATTTAGTTGATGCCAGTTTAAATGTAACCTTTGGAATGACCATATACACAATCACACAACACACAGCTTAACTAGATTAAACTAGACTTTATTAGCAGCCCTCTGAACTCTCTGACCTGCCTGGCTGCTTGTTAGAAGTGTCCTACCAGAGAGAAACGGGTTAATTAAACATATGCCACAACTTGCGATGTCAGCAGCACTGTTCAAAACAGGAAGCACATTTTGGGTAAGTAACATTTAGGAAAAGAGGATATCTTGACTGTTACAGCACATCATCTAACACAAAGGGATTTAATGAATAAATCTGCACACCGTTTTACTAGCATAATATACACACAGTATAATCTACTCCGTTATCCACACATCCACTACGGATGCAATATGCCTATGTGAAATTCGTAAACCGTGAGAGATTAAAAGAACAGATTGGGGGAGAGTGATGAAGTATAAATATGTATTACAAAATAGCTACTGGGGCCAAGTCTACGAACAGCCACAGATCAGCCCACATTGGATCGGACAGCTCTCTGTCCCAGTAGTGATCCACATAGATGACATCAGCATATCAGGAAGATGTCAGCTGACACATGGTATGCCGGGAATATCACGATATTGTGGGAGTCAACTGTCCTCTTGTCAAAAAAATTAAAGAGCAAACATTTATCGAACAGATTTACATCTACACTAGAGAAAGCCACCCAATTAGCAAAATGTGTTGAATTTTAACCTTTGTTTTTTTAAAGCATTAAAGTAGATTTGGCATTCACTACTTTTTGCGTTTGTCCATTTATCCCACGTTTTAGGCTTTTATGTTTTTTTAAATTTTTCTCTTTTCCAGGCACTAAAATACATACCTAATACTTTGGATACGACTCCTTTAAGGATCTACCCAACATTATATCCTTGGTGGGGTTTATACCACCCATACGCTACCATCTGAGCAGGGTCTACTGCTTCACTAAATGTGAGTAGAATATTACCTTTACAACAATTATTACAGTAAGCACTAGTTTGCAGTTATCATTTATACATATATATCAAACCATACATTGAGGTACCAGCCACAAGATCTACATATCCATCGGTGGGGATTGTACCGCTGCACGCTGTTAAACTCAGAGCGGTGTTCTAGCTTTCTCAAATATGAGTGATTTACCCAACACATTATTGTTGTATGTCCTGCACCTTATTCCATACACTCTGTACCATCACTGGTTATTTTCTACTTTTATTTCATATACTCCCAATCCTTTGAAGTCTGGACGGTTACCAGTTGAGAACAGACTCCAGAAATTGTGGACTAACTGGACTTTATATTGGCGTAACCTATATTTTGTGTATATTGTTTTTGCTATATCTTTCAGTAAGGGGTTGAGGGTAACCTTACTATTAGGGTTTGCTGCCTACTATATCTATACTCCATTGACACTTATAGCCCCTATCCTATCTTTGTATTTTTTTTTATAAAAGATATACTAATAGTGGGAAGAATTAACTACAGATGCACAAAACACCATAGATTTTCAATCTTTATTGACGTGTACATCCTACAGAATATGTTGCAAAATTTGAGCTTTCAGAAGTGAAGACGCAGGGATAATAACTCCCCCCCACCCTCCCTGCCCGCCCCAAATATGATCATATGCTCAGCAAGGGGATTAAATGAACAGAGCTCCTTACACAGGTAAAAGGTACATGGAACATACCTTTAATGAAGGTGCTTTTTGAAACATGTCTAGTAGGAACTGTGTCTGCAGAACTGATGGACTGTCCGAAGGGTGAGACGGCAGCGCTTGGAACCCAGATCCTGGCATTCGAGGGAAAAGCTGTTCAATCAGGCGTGTGATAACTTGGAGACATGGGGTGAGGAGGGTCAACACGCGGGATCCATTCAGGACACTTTCACCTGAAACAAAAAAAAAAAAAAAAAAAAAAAAAAAAAAACATTCAAAACAATATGAAGTACTATTTATTTACAGTAAAGAAAGAGCTGCAGATCGGACAGGTTTATATATCCATCACAGGTAAAGAAAGATTTTGTACGTTTCTCCATAAACCATCCTAAAAATTATGGATATTTGACAAAAACCTAATTATGATTGACTGATTCTTTACAATTCAAATTTCAGTTGCCTTTTCTGTTAACTTACCAATAACTTTGCAAGACATACACCTTGACACTTGCTTAAAACTGCTAAATAACCATATGGCAGGTACTTAATAAAGAGATACTTTAATTCACCAGATCCACTACAGCCTGTCTCTGCTGTCTTTTTAATGTAAATGCTGTCTTTTCAGAAACCCCCCCCCCCAAAAAAACAAACAGTGTTCACATTGTTCCCAGGTAATATCTCTGGGTGCTGTCACTCAGACTGTCAGTAGGGGCTTTTGTATTTTAGTCCTGCAATCTTTGCAGGACCGAACTTCACCTTCTCCAAGCTATGCAAGGAGACACTGAGCCCACAGAGATGCACTGAATCAATACATCGCTATAAGGTGAAGAGGATTGTTTTACTGCTAGGTTTTGATCCGCATGCGCTCATGCTACTCAAAGCTTCCCTATGGATAATTTTGATGATCTCAGGCAGGAAAGTGGAGCAGCAGTGCAGCGAACTTAAATAAAAGTTAAGTATATCACCTTTTTACTGGTTTTAATACTCACCATGATTGCGTAACAGATGGGCTAAGGCCTGGATGAGCGAATCCTCTGCTCGAGTAGGCATTGACCTATAAACAAATAAGAGAAAGTAAAGTCCATTTAATAGCAATATGAATATTTACTTTTAATATGATGGTGTTCAGGGATCAATTATGTTAAAATATATAACGCTAATTTTAATACATATTCCAAGATACAAATAAAAACATTTGTGTTCTGACAGATTCCAAACTTACAGTGAGATAGCACTCAGTTTATGAAGATTGTGAAATGTATTTTCAAATAACTTGACAGTTATGCAGATGGTGGCATCAGATAAAGCAATCTCTACATCACACTAAAGACAAGTGGAATCATACAGATAGTCTGAACTCTAAAGTGTCTACTGAACTAGAACTATCCGCCACTTAGAGAGGGGGCAGCGGTTGGGTTTTACAGGAAGCTGCTATGAAAGTGGAGATCAAGAGAGAATCGGAGCTTTTTAGGGACAGGAAGATGTTGGTTAAAGTGGAGAAAGAGCTGAAAAAGATGGTGATAAAACAATGCGTTTGATAAAAAGGGAATACACTGAGAAACGTATACTGAACTGACAAATGCAGATGGAGGAGAGATTTTAAACGTGAAAAATAATGAAAAAATATTGGAGATGGTTAACTTCCACATTATATTGGCAGCAGCTTAGGAGTGTTGGAAAAGGACAGGTTTTGTCAATTGACAAAAAAAAATAAACAAAAAAAAAAAAAGAATTCAGAAGTGGAAGGTCTGCACCTTAGCCATTACAATAAGCTGTAGTAATTGTTTGGCTTGGCTTAGTTTAGCCTTTTTAAAAGGCTTTGAAATCTCCTATAGACGTACACTACCAATAACCTATTTCTTTGTTTGTGTATTTTTGTTGTTGTTGCACAAAAATCTCATATTTACAGATCTAAAAATGCAACAAGGAAGAGGACAAGAACCCTTCGAGTTTATGCACCTGTCCTAGCCATTATTTGTTTACTGAAAGGTTGACAAGCAAATCAGAACTGTTGCTTTGTTAAACTCTCTGAAAACATTTATTCACGGTTCTGTGAATCTTTACTTCGGAAACTGAATTTGCCGTCAGCTGGTCCTCGCTGTAGATACAGCTAATATCTCTACGGACATCACTGGAGATGGCTGGGAAATTGACACTTTTGTAAAAGGGGCAGATGGGTTGACCGTGCCACTTTAATGGCTGGAGAGGCTATGTTTATGGATTTGAGCAGCTCATGACAACTCTGTGGGACAGGGATAAGTAAACAGAGTTCTGCCACCTTTAATCATAACAAGATGCCATTGGGACTACATACCGCATAAACAAACAGGAACCCCCCCATAACTGTTATACTTCTTTCCAGTGCCAAGGCTCCCTCAGCGCTGGCTAGGTCTCCTCCTCCTGCGACTTCATGGCGATTGTGAGACCTAATGCTAATGTCCGGCGCTAGCATTAATACCTTCTCCTTGGAAAGCATTGAATCAAAGACGCTAGACGTCCCTTATACAAAGCATGCGTCGTATCACAGACTAAGACTCCATTCAGACACAGGTTTTACATTGCAGGGTTAGACACGGGCACTTCACAGAAAAACAAACAAAAAAAACAATTCAATAAGATGAAGTGGTCTGGCTGCCTATAGTGTCCCTTAATATTGATCATAAAATACAATTTGGAGATGGCAGTAGCAAGAACTTAGAAAGGGGTAATTGCGCATGTTTTGGTGACTTGTTATTTGATGAGCAGAACATTACTTGATGTAAAGAATAAAAACACAATTTGAAAGCAGTTTAATTAATTACAGAAAAGTTACAAAACCCACTAGCCATCAAACCAGATAAATAACACAGGCAGAACACAAGCATGCAAACTCCTATTACAGACAGACCCCCAAATTACTAACAGACACAGACAGACCCCCAAGTCACTGACAGACACAGACCCCCAAGTCACTGACAGACACAGACAGACCCCCAAATCACTGACAGACACAGACAGACCCCCCAAATCAATGACAGACACAGACAGACCCCCCAAATCAATGACAGACACAGACAGACCCCCCAAATCACTGACAGACACAGACAGACCCCCCAAATCACTGACAGACACATTTATAAAGCCATAATAAGTGGTGTGAAATGTCAGGAAGCATCCCATTGGTTGCCATGGTTACTGCTCCTAATTTAGCACATTCTCCAGTTACAGGTATTTAACCCTCTGAGTTCCTGCCCAGCCCTGGGGCAGCAGTGACAGCATTGCCCACAGTATCCCACACCCAGGGGCTCAGAGTGTCAGCAGATCTTACCTTCTGCTAAGACACGCACAGCGCCCCTCACAGGTCACCAGCCGCAGCTTCCTGGCTGCCTCCTTCCCCAAAACACTGCGCTCCCTATCACACAAAGTGCTCACAAGCCCCACTTCCGGTCACACGCCGTCCACACGATCCCCACTTCCTGTCACAAGCTACCCACGTGACCCCCCACCCTCACTGCGCACGCTGGAGAGCTTTGTAGCCTTTAGGTAGCATAGAGTGCCCGAGGAGGAAAGAGCGGCCATATAAAGGGCTCGTCCTCCGCGCGTACGATAGAGATGATAAAGTGATACCTCCACTGGGTTACTAATCCCATACATGCACAGTGTCCGCGTTTAGGGGAACTAGTCCCTCGGTGATAGCATTTTAGCCATGGATATTATTTTATCAGCCTAACAACATATTGATATTGGGGTTCATATGGGACTACCTACAATACTGCACTGTCTGTGTGTAACAACATTTCAAATATACAAAGAGGGACACTTTAATTTTAATGGGTGAGTGGGGGGGAGAGGGTTAAGAAATTTTAGGTGACTTACTGATGGAATTAATTTCTTTTACCTTTTTGATATAAACATGTTTAGGCAATAGTCCCTTTCTTTGTTTTATGCATTACTAACATTTCAAGGACATTGTAAGTACTTAATGTTTTTCCCAGAAAACTGATTTTTGGCTACACAGCAAATAACTGAGAAAGCACGCGCTTCTAACAGAGATAAAATAATGCCAGTTAGGTAATGATGGGCTGGATTTATGGCCCCCAAAATGTAGTACTTTAAAAATGTGTTAACTTTTGATTGGGACAAAGTTACATCACGCCCCTAGACATGAATACATTTTATAATGTTGCTACGCATTAAAATCTTGGGCAGTTCGTTATGAACCGGTGTGGTTGTCGTTTATTTGGGGCTCCCCTATCGCTGCAATCAATAAGGGTTCAGGTAAAAGCAGAGATCTCTAAATTTAAGTTCATGGCGTATTGTATACGAGGGTCTTCACCACTGATAATAATTTTCTTACACTTACTAATATCTATTTATACAACTAAAATGTATTTTAGAACAAGAACAATCTTATCAACACTTATTAAGACTGATTTCTAAATGCGTTTATTGTAGTTTAAAGAATGGTAGTATTATTTCTGAGAAGCTCAGTGATACACTCAGTCACACCAATAATAAGGAGCTCCTAGAATAGAGAGGCATTGGGATAGAAAAGAGGGGCAGAGGGATTTGGGTCCTAAATAGGGACAAATAGAATATACATCACTCCTATGTGTACACAGACATTTCAGACAGGTGGCTTTACCATCTACAGCAGTGGTTCCCAATCCTGTCCTCAAGTACCCCCTACCAGTCTAAGATTTATGGATTACTCAGTTGTGTCTAAGGTGTTTTTAGAAGAAAGAAAAAAAAAACACAACACTTTAGACACAACAGTGTAATGTCTAAATCCTGGACTGGTTGGGGGTACTTGGGGACTGGGTTGGGAACCCCTGATATACAGCACCACACACCCCTAACGCATTCGCTTCCCATCCGCCCACACACAGCCACCAAACATGTATGAACACCTTGACACACAGATACACACACTGACACACAGATAGACACACACTCGCACACTAAAATACACACACTGGCACACAGATACACACACTGACATATACACGCCATACTTTATATATTTGCAACCACCCTCCTGTTAGCTTACCTTTGTGTTGAGGAGGGTGGCTTGCTTGGTGTCCTGGTCTTGGCTGAGGTTGATGGGAGTAGGCCTGCAGCAGCAGCTCACTCCAGCCTCTCCTCTGCCTCCATGCTGCTGTGGGTGCCTCCATTCCTCCCAGACTGCGCTCTGTCATTTTCTCATTGCTGGTTGATATCACAGGGGCCCGGTCGACCCTTAAAGGGCTGTGGCACCCGACCGGCCCCTGTTTAGCAGCATTAGGAGGGAAGGGGGGCGCAAATCACGTACAATATAGTGGAAATTACAACCACGCGCATTGTGCATCAGATTGTGTGTGATTTCCGTGATATTCTATATGGTTTGTGAGTGTCTGGGAGCCACATTCAAAATGTGGAATTCTCCTGGAATCCCTGGGAGACTTGGGATAGCTGATGTACATGAAAGAACATCAGTAATTCTAGGTAGAGGGAAAATAAAAGGTGGAAGTCCTTAAAGATACCTCATTCTGCAGGTACAAACCCACTGGATCATAATAATAGTACAATAAACACCAATACCTACATCTCTACATAGACTCCGTGCGATCTTCGTAACCATAGGGTTTAAATCTTAATTGGGTCATACGGATACCTCAGGCCCTAGGTAGACTCCCTGGGTCCTACTTAACTATAGGGCTCATTTCCTCATATATCCTCTAGATTAGTTAGAACCCCTGATGCATGTTTCAGTGCAGCAGCAGTGCGCCTTCATCAGAGGCTAAAGGGTGCACTGCTGCTTGACCGAAACCTGCGTCAGGCTTTTATTTTTATTTTCTCACTGGTTTGCACATTATGGGGCATTATTAGTTATTTAGCACCAATAATGCCCCATAATGTGCAGAGAGAACCCCAAATCACTGACAGACAGACCCCTAAGATTTTTTTGTATAAATACTATTCCCTCCTAACAGTAGACAGAAATCATAGCTGGTATTGGTAGGTCCCAGGTAACATGCCTGGAGACTGAGGTATCTATTCTAGACCTACTAGGAAATGAGCCTTATCGTTTCTGTAAGTTTTCTTGTAATTGTCCTATTTATAGTTAAATCCCCCCCCCCCCTAGTAATATTGTAAAGCGCTACGGAATCTGTTGGCGCTATATAAATGGCGATAATAATAATAATATGGTTAAGTAGAGTATAATCTAATTAGGATTTGTGCCCTATGTTTCAGTAGGTCCTGGGGAGTCTCAGGACTGCACTGCTTTGCCCTTGGGCCTATAATGCTGTTAACCTGGAGACTGGTATTGGTGTTTAGGACTTTTAGGACTCCCCTTGTATTTTCCCTTTACCTAGAATTCCTGACTAACTTGAAATGTTGGTGATTTTTGTATAACAGTTTGTTACAATCTTGTAGATTTGTCTGTTTCCCTGGTGTCCCAAGTATTTAATTTTTCCTACCTTAACCTACCTATTATATGAAAATTTAAAGCTAGTTAGTTTTGGAGCAATATAACGAAGAGACCTTTCAGTCAACCTCACTAAGCTCCTTTCACAAGATTCAACTAGACACAGAATTATTAGCATTATAAATCCTAGCCTGGCAGTTATCCTCTTATAATATCATACTATCAACACCCAGTTCAAATCTGTTTCCTGTGATATCTGAGTGGCCTTTTTCTTTTTAATGTGAACAGTGATCTCTCTATAAACATTTGGATACATTAGTTTTCAAAGAAAGAGATACATGTTTCTTTTTTATTTCTTTAAAATTCTAGCCCATGATCTTAGGAGGGATTGGAAATCACTACAATTAGAGTTTAGATATACTTTGTTTGTGCTTTGTGTATCCTAATATTACACTAGAATCTCCAACTCTGTAGTTTCCAATTTGGAATACCTTTGTATATATGAACCAATCAGAATTTACATTGGGCAGCCCAGTCAGAATGCCCATTACATTACCTAGAGATTGCCATCCTTGATGGCAGTGAACTCTTTCAGCAGGATAATGCACCCAGCCACACTGCAAACATTGTTCAGCAATGGTCCGAGGAACATGACAAATAGTTCAAAATGTTGCCTTGGTGTCCAAATTCCCCAGATCTCAATCTGAATAAGCATCTGTGGGGTATGCTGGAACAACAAATAGGATTCATGGAGGCCCCTCTTCGCAACTTGCAGAGCTTAAAGGATCTGCTGCTAATGTATTGGGGCCAGCTACCACAGGACATGTTCAGAGGTCTTGTGGAGTCCATGCCTTGACACATCAGAGCTGTTTTGACAAAACAAGGGGGACTGCACAATAGTAGACAGGTGGCTTTAATGTTGTGGCTGATCAGTGTAGTGTCCCTTTAACTCAGGTGGGCCACCATGGTTTTATCAAAAACTCCCACTGACCACAAAGGGACATTAAAGGGACACTATAGTCACCCAGACCACTTCAGCTCAATGAAGTGGTCTGGGTGCCAGGTCCCTCAGGTTTTAACCCTTCACATGTAAACATAACAGTTTCTTCCGGACAGCCACTAGAGGCGCATCTGCAACGCTGGAGGCAAATTTCGTCTCCATCGCGCAGAGCGTCCAAAGGAAAGCATTGAGAAATGCTTTCCTATGGAAACTTTGAATGCGCGCGATGCACTTGCCGCGCATGCGCATTCGGCTCCAGTGACGTCGGACGGGGGAGCTGACGGCGGACGGGGAGGAGAGGTCACCAGCGCCGAGGGAGCCCGGCACTGGAATAAGGTAAGTGGCTGAAGGGGTTTTAACTAGTGCACCACTACTGGTCAATGAATATTATTGTAGTGAAACTTGAACAGCCTACATTGAAGGTCCACTACTGGTAAATGCTTATGGTTGTAGTGAAACTTAAAGAGCCTAACTTTTAGTATCAATACTAGTGAAATTCTGGAATAAAGTGAAACTTGGGTCTAAACTATGAACCAGATCTTTCAGATTCCGCTGTGACTGGTAATGGAGTGAATTTAGATCCAGGAAGGTAGGAGGAATCCTAATGTCCCCATCCATTCATCACAACATGCTAACCGTGCTCTGACATTGAATGAAGTGCAGGAATTGCTGGAGGCTTAGGAGGAAAATCAATATCTTGAGGATCAATACATACGCTGGGGGAGGGCATCGATCTTTTACAATTCAGTTACAGTATCCTACCATCAGCCTTGTAATAAATATTTTCTTTTTATGTACAACTTTACACAAAAGCTATACTGCTATATATCTGCAGGATTCCGTGAGATTTGTTTTTTTAATCTTGCAGGTATCTCATGCGGTTTTAGATTGGTGCACATCCCTGTAATTATGGCCTGTGGTTGAGCGTGATGGGAGTACTAACTTGCAAGTATGGCACAGATATTTACTAAAGATACAGGATACTATCCATTATAATAAAATGCTTACTGGGCTGAAGGACCCTAGGATCTAAGAATGTGATTCAGAAAACAGGACAACGTGAAGCCCAGCTAATAAACCTGATGCACCTTGTGCATCCAGGGCCTTCTATCCCAGATGAATGATGTCAGAGACCAAAGGTCCCAAAATGGTCTGATGTGAGCTTGGCTATATTACTTTCACCACTAGAACACAACACATCCTCATATTCCCTAATTAACTTAAAGAAGGCCCAAGGATATCGCCTGACACTAACCCAATATATAAAAAGATAACACATGGGAGGGCACTGTCTTGAGATCCCCTTTTATGGGATTATAACTAGCCTGAGATAGAATAGACATACTGCAGCAGTATTACTTCTTGGCCTCCGCTTCATATCACAAAGACGAACAATATAAATTAGTATTTCATTCAGAGTCAACAAGGTCATAATGGTCCCACAAGGTCATCGTGACCATGGTCCCTCTCTTCTCCTGCTATCCCTCTGATGTTTCTTCTGCTTGACATATAGTAGAGGGAACCATCTCACGTGCTTATACGTCTTCATAGTCTAAAAAAAGCTTGTGCCACCGACTGCCACCACTCTGCCATGGTATAGGAGGGACGTCATGGAAATCCATGAATATGTCCCCAGGACATACAGAACTCAATAGGAGAGAAGCAGAGAGGGACACACATTCAGAGAAGATGAAAGCAGCACAGAGAGGGATCGAGGACAGGCAGGTACTCTAGATTAAAAAAACAAATACCAGAATAAAAAGGTAAGTAAGGACAGTTGTTACACTGTCTTAGTTTATCTCCAAATTACCATTTTTATTTCATTAGAAAACAATCAAGAGTTCATCAACCTTTAAAAGTCATATAAAGCACTGAGATATTGGGATATAAGTGAGCTAAAGCAGCCACCTGTGGCATGTGGCACATGCGAGACCCCTCTTGTGGTCTTTATCCGTTGCCAATGCTTAGTAGCTGACCCCTGCCAGGTGTGTAGTCTTTAGATAAACCAGGAGAACATATATTGATTGTGCTTACACCACATCAAGAGCCACTCAAGTCACTGGAAGGTGGAACTATCAGAATGAGGACAATACAAGAAGGAGATGAAAATGAAGGGAAAGAGGATGTCATAGAAATTGTGAGGAAGGAGAGCTCCAGCCGAAATATGAGAGATTCTGTAGGACACGAGGACTTTGAAGAATTTGTGTTGAATTTTGAGGACTATGATCTCTGGGAATCCATCAAAAATCATCTTACCAATCCAGAGGACGGCAACAATTGTAAGTACCCCTGTCCATTCTTAATGGGGAAGGTTTATTTTGGGCATGAGGGTGTGAAACAATGAAAGTTTAAGTTTTATGGCATTTGCTAAATTAAAAATTCCAATGTTTATGTAAAGCATACTCATTTAATATCAGTTAATACACTTTGAGAATAAATACCAGTCTGTGAGTATAATAAACATTTTAATTAATATTTATCATTGTTCAAGGGTTTTCTTCCCAAGTAAGCTGTATGCTTACTTAGCAAGCACCTGGGTTTATTATGTTTCTGGTGTAACCAGCACACATGCGGGCTAGTTCCTGTATTCTCTTGAGAATATTCCAATATTCCATCCCACAGGTAAAGGAATCTAAAGGCAATGCACGTGATGGGGACTGCTCCTAGCTTAATGGAAATTGTAGTCAATGCATGAAGTTCGTTTGCACATACCAGCTTTAAGTTTCATTTTACTCTGGGTAGGTGGCAGCTCAGAAGAACCACCCGCATTACGCAGGCACATCGTGTCTAAGATCAGGGGGAGCCGAAAAGAAGCCACCACCGTCCCTCCAAACCTGAGCTGGACCAAGAAGCAGCAGGATCATGCACCCCATGAAGTGAGTTTATTGGCAACGTTAATAAAACAGCATTGGGACATCTACCAAGGGCTGACCATGATAGGGTTCTGTAGAATTGAGCCCATTTCTTGGGGAAAACACAGGGCAGAACAAGCTCAGACCCTTCTTTCCAAAACGACAGACCGTTGCCAACTTAGCTCATGCCAACTTGATGTTTGTAAAAGATAAAATCCTTTATCTTGAAATTTAGAACATGTACCACTCTACGTACCTAATTTGTCAGTGTGCTCAGGTATTTGAATAACAATTTTATAAGCAAGAATGTTTGACTGCTTAGTGCCTCAGTCAGTCCTATGAGGTTTTTACGGTTTGAGTGGTCAATATCCGAGGCGCCATGTACCTCTCTGTAAGGACCGCTTTGTGACATGTCATGTACAGTGCGCTATGTCACGTGTAGGGCTCCCACACCTGGAGCTCTTACAAGGGCTCGAGTCTCAGTCAGGGACCTTATTCTGATTGAAAATATACCGGCATGATCTTCATCTCTTTACATTGGTTTGATAGAGAATAAATCACTTTTTGTAAAAAATGAGACATAACTCAAAACACATTAGGGTTTCCAGTAAACCAGAAGTTGCGAAAAATGTGTGCTGTAATTCTCAATTCTCAGTTTAGTAAATAACATAAAAATGTATTTATAGTATTATCCTATTTATGAATTACATTCACACTGTGTTCTCTCCGTCTGTAAAATCCTATACAAATAATGCTGTTATAGAAAATGACTAAGCACAGAATGTCCTGTTGATTGGGTTCACTAATGAGTTTTTCAGCTCGAGCAGCAAATTATTAAAATTGCCAGGAGTGCATTTGTGACCCAGATAGCTTCAGAGGCATAACCCTCTCAATAGCAAATTATTTCTGTAACATGAGAAAGTGTAAAACTAGGAGAAAAAGGGTAAAAAAAGAAAAGAACAATTTTAATATATATTTAAGACATAATAAAATAATAGCAGCATTAAAGGACCACTATAGTGCCAGGAAAACAAACTCGTTTTCCTGGCACTACAGGGTCGTTAGGTCCCCCCCACCCTCAGGGCCACCCTCCCGCTGGGCTGAAGGGGTTAAAACCCCTTCAGCCACTTACCTTTCTCCAGCACCGGGCTCCCTTGGGAGTGGTGACCTCTCCTCCCCTGCCGATGTCAGATCTGAATGCGCATGCACGGCAAGAGCCACGCACGCATTCAACCGCCCATAGGAAACCATTACTCAATTTTCACATTGAGAATTGCGGAAGCGCCTCTAGCAGCTGTCAGGGAGACAGCCACTAGAGGCTCGATTAACCCTCAGTGAAACATAGCAGTTTCTCTGAAACTGCTATGTCTACAGCTGCAGGGTTAACCCTAGATGGACCTGGCACCCAGACCACTTCATTGAGCTGAAGTGGTCTGGGTGCCTATAGTGGTCTTTTAAGTATTAATAGTCTACATTGACAATATGCAGTTATATCAAAGATATTTATATACAAAGAGTTCTCTTCTATGTATTTCCCACTTAGAAAGTAGCACCACCTTAATGAAGACTCATTTTAACACCAAATCAACATTCAACATTCTAAGAAGAAACTCAGCATTCTATGGAGACATCTTTATGACTCTTAAAATCTAAAAAACTCCAAAAAATCTATATATACCAGTAATATCCCTTTGCTCCCAGGGAGCTCTCTATTTGCATCCCAAGTCAATTTAGATACAAGAGTGAAGGAGAGTTGACCACAAATGATGTGATAAATCTTCAGAATACAGAATGTGGGGTTATGTATAAAACGTGTTGGGTTCTGGAAAGTGGTGCGATGTGCTAAAAGTGGGGCAGTCACCATAGAAACCAGTAGGACCAACATGCACATTCCATTGGTGGCTCCAACCCTTTTCTCTGACTGTACCCCATTTCACAACGTGACAGCAATTCATGTCTTTATATCTGACTTTCTGCTGTATTTTGTCAGGTCTTCGTCGAGTTGAACGAGTTGATCTGTGAAGGTGTGCAAGAGATGCACTGGAAGGAGACAGCTCGCTGGATAAAATTCGAGGAGGATGTAGAGCGGGACACGTCTCGTTGGGGGAAACCTCACATCGCATCACTGTCATTCCGCAGCCTTCTAGAGCTCCGAAAGACCATTGCACATGGTGCGTTGCATGTTTAGCTGGGAGTCCAGGAAATAAATACATATAGAGAAAGAAAACTTATATATATAAAAAAAAAAAGTTTTTCGGAATCGTGCACCAAATAGTTTTTCTATATTTTCAGTAGTCTATATTTAAGTATCTATGGCATATTTTGAGTGTGACTTATAAATACAACATATTACAGTTAGAACCTTTCTTATCCCTACCTTGTCTAATTTCCTACTATTGAAATCAATATATTAAAACAGTTTGAAAGTCTGTCCAAAAATATAAAGTCATTTGAAAAGCTTAACCAAAAATATTAAAGGATCACTATAGGGTCAGGAACATAAACATGTATTCCTGACCCTATAGTGCTAAACCCACCATTTAGGTGGCTTGCCCCCGTTATCCCCCCTATAAAAGTATAAAACTCACCTCATTTCCAGCGCCGTGCGAGTCCGCCGGCGCTGGCTCCGCCCCCTTTGTGACATCATCGAAATGGCCGATTTTTAGCCAATCCAATGCTTTCCCATAGGAAAATGCTGTTTTGGCCAATCAGCCCCTCCTTATAGAGATGCATTGAATCAATGCATCTCTATGAGGAAAATTCAGCGTCTCCATGCAGAGCGTGGAGAAGCTGAACAGCAGTGCTGCTTACTGTGCAGCCCTGAGCCAGGAAGCCTCTCCAGTGGCCATCTCTGAAAAATCAGTGTTTACATGAAAATGCCTGAAGGGAGCCATTATAGTCATCAGAACAACTACATTAAGCTGTAGTTGTTCTGGTGACTATAGTGTCCCTTTAAATTAAGCCATAATTGCTCAGTTATAGCCCAGAGGGGTTACTATAGCTAGTGATATATGGGCGTCCTTTTTTCAGAACTGATTGGTCAATCTAAATGATTTATTCATTTATTACATAGACAACTGCTGCTAATTCATGTTGGCAGGCTGGCTACTGCACTGGGCATTGCCCCTATATCTCAACCCTAATCCTTGTTTTCCAGGAGCTGTCTTACTGGATTTGGAGCAGACAACTATGCCAGGAATTGCTCAGATGGTGGTGGAGACAATGGCAATTTCTGACCAGATCAGGGCAATAGATCGGGCCAATGTTCTGAGATCCCTCTTGTTGAAGCACAGGTAATTATATTCGGAGGTAGATGAGGTGCTACATGATGATCTAAGACGTCCATGTGCATAGAGACACAGTGAAAGGAGAGAGTTAGAATGTTGAGGGATCTAGAAAAAGTAAAGAATACAATAAAATTCATTTAAAGTTGAACATTTTGTGGGAGCAGAAGTTTTTAAGTAATTTTATGAATTGGGAGTGTGGTTGACAATAGTTTTTCCTATTGTATGGAGAGTCATAGACAGTTCCATGACATTTAATCACTTTGTGAAAATTCTCAAGGAATAGCCAATGTATCTCCAGTAGGAGAATTGTTACCAGTTTGCTCAGTTTGTTGCCATTGACTGATATTGAAAGAACATTTCTAACACAGTCATGTTTAAAGGTTTATCATTCTCAAAGGACTATGTGTCAATCATCTCCTAAACTGTCCTACTCTCAGCAAGTGGCAGATATTTATTTGTTCAACCATAACTAGGGATGTTTGTTATTCAAGGAAATCTAACAAAATACACGATATTATATTAGAATGCACTAACTTGTTTATAAACTTACTATAAACATTGTCAGATTGCATTGTTGGGCACTAGTGATGTCCCGAACGGTTCGCAAACGGTTCGCCACGAACGGTTCGCCGTGGACTCATCATTGAGTAAACCCCCCCTCCCAGATCCTCCCACCTCCTGGACAGCTCACTAAGAATGCAGCTTCAAAATGGATGCTGTCCAGAAGGTGGCAGGGTCTGGGAGGGAGGGTCTGCTGCTGATTGGCTGGAATGTGTCTGCTGACTGTGAGGTACAGGGTCAAAGTTTACTCAATGATGAGTCCGTTCGGCAAACCGTTCGGGACATCACTATTGGGCACACCTCTCAACTAGGGGAGTTCTTCAGCCTTGCTTACCCATCTCAGTTTGAGACCAGTCCACTAATGACAGAAACAGGGCATCATGGTGCAGAGAGCTACAACTAAAGCTTTTGAATGAGGCAGCTGTCGTAAAGTGATGCATGTCCCTTTAAAAGTTCATCTTTTAAAAATTTCCCCGGTAGGTGATACAATGCTTTAATGTAAATTTTTCTTCTCTATACAAGTCATCCGAATGATGGAAGAGATGCTCACCACCCTCGTAACAATTCCACCACCAGCGTTGGGAATCATGTCGTTACCAACAGTCCGACAAAAGACACCAACTCCCACAATCCACAGGATCCTGAAAACAAGCAGGTGAAGGGCTTAGAGGTGTTTATTGATGTGAAATTAAATACAGAATGCTGACATTCAACATAACATTATAACCATTCAAATGTCTTATGGTTGACAAGCTAAATGTCATTTATTAGAATGATAGATAGATAGATAGATAGACAGACATTGTATTGTATTCTACAATGTTCTATAATGTAGATTTACCAGCCTATAACAATTCAGATAATTTTTCTTGCTTTATTTATGACGAGGAGTACAGAGTTGGCAAATGTTTGTTGTATTTTAAGAATGTTTTACAGTAATTTCCAGCCCTTGTATCATTGTTACATTTATCATTGTTTCCAGAAAACCATAAATGGTCCAGACGGACATCGTATCAAACACTGGAAACTCATGGAAAAGATTCCGGAAAATGCAGAGGCCACGGTTGTTCTCGTGGGTTGGTAACAGTTGTGTTTTGTCTGAAGAATATTTTGCATTGATGTTTCTATTTTTTTGTTTCCGTATAACACAACTGGATGTGATATAATGAACTTGCCCATTTAGTATGCCTGCAAACTCACAGCAAAAGTGATGCTCTTATTTTCCATCAAACAATAAGGGGAATTCACAGCTAAATTTGAAGTAGTTACATTTTCACAGAGACCTTGAACAAACGCAAGTTTAAGGTAAAAAACAAACAAAAAAAACATTCAAACATTTATGGCACCCAAACCAAGCCTGTTAGTAATTTGTAAACTCACTAAAGAGTTCTAAAAGATGTGTCTATATTTAATTGTAAATATTAAACATGCATTATTAAACAAAAAGGGATTGTTTTTTTTTTGCCCTTGGAGGCTAGTGCAAAGTAAACAAAATCCCTTTTTACAAGCAAAACTTTCAGCTACAGATACTGCAGCGGCTGGGCTAGTGTGCCGCTATTCTAACCCCTCTTCCATGATTACTTTTAAATAAACTGGCTGCAACTTCATTCATTTACTTTTTGCGTGTGTGAATTTCTCACTGCAATTTTCTTAACAAACACTAGAGGGTGTCTAGTCCCACAGTAAGTTGTGAGGTCATGTAAGCTGACATAAGTAGCAATACAGTATTTAGGCAGTGGTCATGTCTGCAGTTTCCAAAACAGCTGAGTCACCAAATGTGTTCCCTGAATGTGATGTTCGTTTTGCGCAGTGGTCATGTCTTTAAATATTGTCTCTCCTGTGCATTTTGCAGGTTGTGTGGAATTCCTGGCCAATCCAGCGATGGCCTTTGTCCGCCTGAATGAGGCTGTCCTGCTAGAATCAGTCCTAGAGGTTCCGGTTCCTGTCCGTTTTCTCTTTGTATTGCTAGGACCAAGTCAGTCAAACATGGATTACCACGAAATTGGACGTTCCATCTCCACACTCATGTCAGACAAGGTGAGAATGTCCAGTGGCAACGTAACAACATTATGGGCCCCCGGGCAAAGCAGTGCCTACACAACCAGTCACAGGAATAAAAATTTAAATTATCAATAAAATTACGCCAGGTGTGTACCTGGAGCATTTGGCACCCAGGAAGGGTTATTTTTTTTGCCTCACCCCCCCACCCCCAACTTTAAATGTAAAAAGCAACCACATTTTTTTTAAAATGTATTTAGCACTGAGCAGTGTTTGTGTGTTTGTATGTAGTGTTGGCGTTTGAATGCAAGTATGCATTTGTGTGTTGTGTGGTATTTGAATGCAGTGGTGTGGTTATATATAATGGTGGGGTTTGTAGTGTTGACGTTGAAATGCATGAGTGTATTTGTGTGTAGTGTTGGCGAGATTATGAGATGTATGCACATATACACATACACACACACACACACTGACACACATGCAGACACATATATACACATGCAGACACATATACACACACAGTCACAAACAGATACACATTGACACACATGCAGAAATAGTGGCGACTCTAGGAACAACATAACAATATATAGGGGGGCCACATAAGATACCACAGTCAAAATGGGAGGGAGAAGGGGGTGAGCACTAAAACTTTTCACTAGGCGATGGGGTAATGTGCTGCCATTGACTGTCCGAGGGACTTCAGCGCTGGAATCAGGTAAGTGAAAGAAGGGTTATTTAGTTATTTAACCCTTTACCTGTCACCGGGGGAAAACCTTTAGCGTTAGGAATAGTTCTTTGTATTCCTAACACTTAAGTTTTCCTTTAAAAATTTACCAACTGTCATTATAATCCTGTTCAGTCCAGGCACCAGCAGGGCAAACATTGCAATGGAGGAGAATGACAATTTTTTTAAATCTTTGTTCACCATTACATACCATTATGTTGAATGCCTGGAAGGGGCAGAACTTATCACAATGATCAACATTTTATTTTTTAGGTTTTAAAAATATATTTTTGTGAAAAAAAAGGGGATGAATAAAACAAACAAAAAAATTAAATACAAGATCCAGGGAAGTGGCAGTACCACTTTAACAGTACCCTCTTTATATAGTTAGGTATCCAGTCAGAAATCAGTTTGTCATTATTTGCCTAGTGATCTCTGCTCCAGTATGTCTTGTTCTGCCTCCCCTGTCCTCTCCCAAGGCGCTTCGGATTATATGTGCTGCGCATGAAGATTTGAGAAATTTGCAACCGGACCAGCAACGAAACTCAACTTCTCCTCAAACATGAAAACAATCTATGATTTAGCACGGGTGATTTTTTTAAAATCTAAATTTATTGATATCAATACATTGAGTTCAATAGATCTGTGATATGAAATGTATAAATATAACTTCTTTTTTCCTACCTTATTACTTCCATGTGAGAATGCCGTGCAAAGAACAAAGGAAATTAAAATAAAATAATGCTGTGATATCAACTAGGTGCGCGTCAAAGGCGTTAATTTGATATAATTAACTGAGTCACATGATTGCAGAAGGTAGAGAAATAAAACATTCAGGATGAATAGGACGTATTCACCAAACACGTTCTTAGCTTTCAGAAAAGGAGATTTCACGATTCACAAAAGGGAGCATTGACACTATGTGATTATTATCCCCCACAGATGAACTAGGATTTACTTTTTCATTTAATTCATTTTAATTACTGTTATTTTACATGCCCCGGAGATGCATTGGTTCCTAAGGAAATGTTAGAATGACTAGCAATTACAGGACGATTAGGTGAAAGTCACCGATGTGGTGCATCAGGAATCAATTTATAGATCTATAGTGATGTTATTTTAAAGGGACACACTGCAGCACTGTGTTAGTACAAGGAGCCATTGGGGAACAAATGACACCACCCCTACTGTCACTGTACCCCTAATCCCTTCCCCTCTATCCATGTGTCACTCTCTCCCCCTAGCCCCGTGTCACTCTGCCCCCCTAGCCCTGTGTCACTCTGCCTCCCTAGCCCTGTGTCACTATGTCCCTCTGTCCCCTAGGCCTGTGTCACTGCCCTCACTCTGTGTCACTCTGTACCCCTGCCCTCTAGTACTGTTTCACTCAGCCCTCCTGCCCCCTAGTCCTTTGTCTCTGTCCCTCCCCTAGCCCTGTGTCACTCTGTCCCCCTAGCCCTGTGTCACTGTCTCCCTGCCCCCTAGCGGGTCACTGTCCCACTAACCCCCCACCACGGAGCCCTGTGTCACTCTGCCTCCTTAATCTACTGCCCAATAATCCCTGTGTCACTCTGTACTCCCAATACCCTGCCCCCCTAGCCCTGTGCCACTTTGTCTCGCAAGCCCTGCATCATTCTATCTCCTTAATCCCTTGTCTGCCAAGCCCTGTGCCACTTTGTCCCCCAAACCCCCAACCCCGCTATCACTTTGTCACTCTACACCTCTAGCCCTGTATCACTTTGCCCCATAATTCCCTGTAACTCTGTCCCCCAACCCTTTGTTACTCTATCTCCCTTGTGTCATTGTAATGCCCCGTCTCTCTAGCCTTTTGTTCCCTTTGTTTAACTTAAAAAATTGAATTCCTGTTGAGCCGTAGGTGGAGTGCATGGTCTGCACCTGTGGCTGGCGCAGACTGTTATATTTGCTGTCTCACGTTGTCTGTGCCCAGTTATAGAGTCAATGCACTGACACCGGGATTCTTAGCCTGAACTTTGACTCATAACAAGCACCAGACTGGAAGGAGGGGTCTGCACCAGTCATAAGTACAGGACATGCGTTTTACCACCGGGCCACCAGGGAATTTAGCTCCCTCCATACAAAAAAGTAAACAGGAGTAGAGGTAAAACATCTTTTTATTATATGAATTAAACACCCACTACACACAGCCAACACATGCACATGAAACATATCACACACAAACCAAACACAGCCACCACTCATTCCATCACATTATTGTGAGGTTTATTATAGTGGAGCTCTATGATAGTGTTATACAAAATGCACATTCATTTTATAGGTGTGGAGCTCTGTAATAATCTGCTATGCACATTACTGATTTGTGATACATTCAAAAACCGCGTTTTTGTTTTTTGTTTTTTGCTGTGGATCTCTGGGATTAACTCATACACAAAACACAATACTGTGACTTGTAATGCCCAGGATCAAGGTAAATGAGGAAAACCCAGTCCAAAACAATACAACTCACAGTATTGTGTGGCATGATTGAGAAGCAAAATGCGCTAAAGCAATTATCGTTGTGTTTGTAAGTGGCGCCTCTGCATACTTGAAGGGGGTGATGGGGCGGCAAAATGCACCTCCGTCTGTGTACCTAAAGATTCTTGCTCCGACCCTGCGTGCGGTCGCGTCTGATCCCTGACCCTCAATGGTCCAAAGTGGGGGGGGGAGGGGAGGGGAAGAGCCCAAGACAAGCTGTGTAATTGTTGGGTGAAGGAGCGGCCGTCCCCCTCACCTCACCCGATACTGTAGGCCTCAGGAACAATCAGCTTTGTGCGCCGAGAACCTGACTGCTCAGTCAGCCTATTGGTGTTGTTCTGGTAAGTGAATTAGGCAGGTCTGTAGATGAAACTTAAGTGCAATACCCCTGTAATTTGCTTATGTTTTAGTTTCCATGCAGGAGCCCCTTCAGCACACGTCTGCCTCAGTTGGCTGTCAGGCCCCGCCACTTGCTCCCTTAACTTTTGAGGTTCATTTCTGTAATGTGAATGGTTCATTTTACTTACCTACTACTTTATTTATCTTTTGAATTCATGTCTCTGGCCTTATGTTTCTATTTTATTGATGGGTGATATGCTTTGAGGTATGCTTTAGGGCTTAAAGGACCACTCTAGGCACCCAGACCACTTCAGCTTAATGAAGTGGTCTGGGTGCCAGGTCCTTCTAGGGTTAACCCATTTTTTCATAATTATAGCAGTTTCAGAGAAACTGCTATAATTATGAATGGGTTAAGCCTTCCCTAATCCTAGTGGCTGTCTCATTGACAGTTACTAGAGCGCTGCTTCTCACTGTGAAAATCACAGTGAGAGCACGCCAGCGCCCATAGGAAAGTATTGTAAATGCTTTATGAGACCGCTGAATGCGCCAAGCAGCAGCGCGCGCATTCAGCCCGGGCGTAACGGAGGCGGAGAGGAGGAGGAGAGCTCTCCGCCCAGCGCTGGAAAAAGGCAAGTTTTAACCCCTTTCCCCCTTCCAGAGCCGGGCGGGAGGGGGTCCCTGAGGGTGGGGGCACCCTCAGGGCACTATAGTGCCAGGAAAACGAGTATGTTTTCCTAGCACTATAGTGGTCCTTTAAATATAATGACATATACATAACATATTTTGTTTCCTGTAGGATCTATTGAGCTTTTGGCTTTTTTTTCTTTGCACTTAGCTGAGGTAAGTTTTCATTTTTTGGTGAGATGGCATCGGGGGGGAATTTTGTAAAATTTAGCACCTAGCATGGAAACCAGGCAGTGAGAAGTATTGTTATCTCCCGTTATCCAGTTTGAGAGATGTTAAAACCTGTCGTCCACACTTGGTAAGATTTCCTTGTATGGAAACAGCTGCTAGTTACTAACATTACCAGAACTTATCTTAACGATTAGCCAACTTTCAGTAAAATTCTATGACAACTTTGGAAATTAGTCCTTATTGAATAACCCCATAATGTGTTAATCCTTGGTAATTCTTTCCAGTAATAATATATTATAACCCTCTTGTGCCCTCTAAAGGTATTTCACGAAGCCGCTTACATGGCTGCCGAACGGCAAGACCTCCTGAACTCCATTAACGAGTTTCTCGACTGTAGCATGGTCCTGCCCCCATGTGAAGTGCAGGGCAAAGATTTACTGCGTTCCATTGTCAGCTTCCAGAAGGATTTATTGAGAAAGCGGAAGGAGCGTGAACAACGGCGTTCTGCAAGGGAAAAAGCACCTCCAAAACTGACTGGACATACGGCAGGTCTGGGAGCCAACATTTTCAAAGTTGCAATGTTGCTTTTTACTTCAGACAAAAAATATGACAAAGTCATTCATTATATTGTTGTTAGATGGTAATGATTACCATTATTATTTTTGTTGTTAGCATTTCTATAGGGCCAACATTTTTCAGTTACACAATGGCGATATTTAACATCAAGTAACTGACAGACAATAATAATGTTGACAGACACAAGAGGTGTGAAGGGCCCGAGTTAAACAAGCTTACTATCTTCTAAAAGATAGTATTAACAATTACCAGTGTTGTATACTATAAATATTTAGCAAATTCGAAAACCATCCATGAAGTAGCTTGCGATGCCTACTCAGTTAAAACCTTAATAATTCTGTTGTGTTGTCCTATAGTAATGCTTGTGTTTTGTTCGTCTCTGGAGCAGAACCAAGTTTAGAGAAACAAGATATTCAAGATGATGATGATGGGGATAGTGAGTTGGATCCACTGGAACGCTCTGGTTTTCTCTTTGGCGGTTTGATTCATGATATCCGACGACGTTATGTTAACTACTGGAGCGACATTAAGGACGGTCTAAACAGTCAATGTCTTGCAGCCGCTCTCTTTATCTACTTTGCTGCCCTCTCCCCTGCCATCACCTTTGGAGGTCTCTTAGGTAATTATTATAGCAGACTATTTTCACTCACTCTCTACAAATGTAGACAGGACAAGTCTTTATAAGAAGACATGACAGTGTGAAATGTCGTAAAACCTCTTAACGAGACTTTCCCATACATGTTGAATGAAGGACACCAAGATTATTCATGACTGACATGGCACTGACTGTGAATTTATTATAATTGGCCAGGGAACAGGATATTTTAGGTAAAAATACGCCTGCTGGAAATTAGGTCAGTTGGAGAGTTTTTTCCAATTTAATTATTTCAGCCTAAAATTTGCATCATCCTTGTAAATTCTCTACAATTGCTGTTTGGATGAATAAACATGAATAATTACTTTCAATATGCCTAATGGTATCTGGCTGGTCGCAAGTGCTGTCATTATTAATGCAAACTGGATATGGTGTACTGTACTAGGCAAATGTATTTTATTTGTGTGCACTAATTCATATAATATACCTGTGTGTTACATTAAATGGAATGAATGGAGATAAATTGAAAATGAGCGTGATGAGATCTTATTGGGCAGTTTGTGAAATCAGTCTGTGTTTCTATACCCCTTTTTTAAGGGGAGAAGACTCAGGGTCTTATGGGGGTGTCGGAGCTGATTGTGTGCACCTCGGTGTTGGGTGTGTTCTTCTCACTGCTTGCTGCACAGCCCCTCCTCATCATTGGGTTTTCTGGGCCTCTGCTTGTGTTTGAAGAGGCATTTTTTAAGGTAAGAAAGCACATGCTACATTATAAGCTAGGATACCAATTCACATCCCATGAAAATAATTTTCAAGAATAGCATAACGATATTATGTTCACACCTGTCCTTGCATTGTCTTTACACACATCCCATGATTCCTCTTTCAGTTCTGCCAGGTTCAGGATATCGAATATCTGACTGGCCGCGTGTGGATCGGATTCTGGCTGATCTTGTTTATTCTGGTGATGGTGGCGGCAGAGGGTAGCTTCCTTGTCCGTTACATCTCCCCATTCACACAGGAAATCTTTGCCTTCCTCATCTCTCTCATCTTCATCCATGAGACATTTTACAAACTCTATAAGGTGGGAAGTGGACATGGGTCTTGTACGTAATGACTGATACATTGTACCCTTTGTATGTTACCCCTGTAAGTAGTCACCTTCCAGAAGAGCTTAATTTACATGTTTTACTAATAGCTGTATTTTAAATATAAACTTTTACAACTCAGTGGAGGCAGGGGCTGTTTTTATACAAAGAACTAGATCGCTAGGTACAGTTATAAGTACTAGATTTTTTATCTGGTCCATCCATGTATGGATAGATAGATAGATAATGGATGGATAGATAGATAGATAGATAGATAGACGGATAGATAGATGGATAGATAGGCCATTTAACTCTGCTGAAATGCTGGACCTGTTCAGGTTAACCCTAATTTTTATTTAGCAGAATTGCAATCTATAATGCTGTCTCCCATGGTAAATGAGATTTAACCACAAATTAAAAAACAATCTCAACCAAACAATGTGCTTGGGGGACTATTGAGTTATAAATAGTTAAATTATGGCCAGGCTGTCCTGGGTCATTAGTAGATAGCTTCACGCCTATTCACCTGACTGGTCCAGCTCAGAAATACCAGGAAAAAAACCATTGTATGTTTTGTGTTTTTATGGCCATTGTTGTCGGAATTCTATTGCTTAAATTAGGGAATAACAGGGTACTTTGGTACCACCACACCTTCGTTTTCTCGGGATAGTATTTCTAATGAAGTTTATGGAAATAAGAGACAAGGTTTTGCTTTTCTGTGCTAATGGTGAGTTTATTTCTGTAGCAAGCTGCTTCACAGGGTGACATTAAGCAGGTAACGTCCCAGGATGGATGGTAACACAGTGTAACAATATTCACAGCACAGAGCTTTAAATACAGAATCAATTACTCACACAGATTACATTACCGTGACGATATACTAACACGCGAAAAGCATATTACAGACCATTTATCACTGTGACGAGATAATAATACACTAAAGGCAAATTATAGAGTATGCTTTCACTGTGACGAAACTATGTGGGAAATCAGGTAGAATTAGTTAAAGGGACACTATAGACCCAGGTCTCTTAACCCTGCAAATGTAATTGTTGCAGTTTTTAAACTGACACTAAAGTTACCCTTTAAGTAGAGATATGACGTCACAGTAACAAACATGATTTTATTTTATTTTTTTAATTCTTTATTTATATCAAGATTAAACACCACACCAAGATATGCAACATAATACAGATGCGTACATTAACTCTGACACAAGTCAACATTAGTTAGAGACAAATAGTTGCGCATATTAATAGAACCATCTTTGAACAATATAGCTAACTGTTGCTTGTTGACTATCAGAGACAAACATGATTTTAAATCAAAAAGTTGTAGAATCAGTTATTTTACATAAGGAAAACAGGACAAATAAGTTAGCTAAAAGATTATATGAAATTCAGTAATATTTAACAAAGATCTGACCTAGATATGTGTTTAATATCTCTCTCTGATATTATTGGTGACACACAACAAATGTCCTTTTATTAATTTATTTGGTACAACCTTAATAATCCTACTACAATTACAATCTCATTATCAGAAGCAACCACAACTACTCTCATACACCTTAACTCTGCGTCCCATAATTGTCACTTAATTTCACTATAACTGCGTTTCCCTAAATTGATGGAATCGGGATGTTTTCCGTTTCTCTGCCTTATTTACACAATCAAGACTTTGTGGGATAAAGATAGTTTTTTCGTTTGCATTGACTCCTCAGGTATTCACAGATCACCCCTTGCTCAGGATATACCCCTCGGGGGGAAGTCGAACTGCTGCTTTGGGACCCAGGATGCAGCCAAACACAGCTCTGCTCTCTCTCATCCTCATGTCTGGAACGTTTCTCATTGCCTTCTTCCTGCGCAAATTCAAGAATAGCCGTTTCCTTGGAGGGAAGGTTAGAGATACATAAAGTCACTGGGATTTATAGATTGCTAGTTCTTCTCTTCTATGTATCACAAGCTTCTCCTGAGAGTCTTAACAATCCCTGATAGTGCGCAAGTAGACTGTGACTGTCTGTTTCCTTCATACATCTCTCTTTCTGTTGTTTTTCAGGCTCGACGAGTTATCGGAGATTTCGGGATTCCCATATCAATCCTAGTAATGGTCTTAATTGATTACACCATAACCGACACATACACACAGGTATCGTTTTCTACCATTCTGAGAATGACGTTTAGAACACTCACACATTTGCTATTACAGAGAATGCTGTAAGCCTGCTGTTGTAATGTTGATTCCATTGCTTTGTTCAAAACCTCGTTAGAACCCAGCCAGAACAGCAAACTAAAATTTCTACACCGTACCAATAGCGGGGGGGCCAGAATTGGACAGATTAGTCTGGAAAACTGATTTCTGCATTACGCTATTCAACATAAAGCCAAATCCCCCCCAGCAGGACCCAAAATGTTCTCTAGCCATTGGATGGTGCTAACGTAGCGCTGGCGAGATGGAATTCCATGTGCCATGGTCCGTCCAGGCTTGCAATGGCTAGTAACATTTAAGGCCTTGCTAGTAGACTAAAACTAGACATTTTAAGCTCTAATAATATGTTGTCCTGAAGATTGATTTGTACTGTAGTGTTTGTCCTAGAGAAGATTGCATAGGGTCATTGGATTTGTAATTCAACAAACAGCTAATGGAGCTGGTAAGCTACTTATAGCCAGCGGCTGCAATTCCTGTTATCCTAAATGGATCTCCTGTTACTCCAGGATTATAGAGTCTCTAATGGAAGAGTTAATTTATCTTTTATCATATGATTCAGGCGGTGGTTTATCATTTCACTTCTCGCCCCTGATAGAAACTGAACGTGCCGTCGGGTCTCTCTGTGACCTCTCCCAGTAAACGTGGTTGGTTTATCCACCCCCTGGGGTCCACCCGTCCGTTTCCCCTCTGGATGATGTTTGCCTCAGCAATTCCAGCTCTCCTGGTTTTCATTCTTATCTTTATGGAGACACAGATCACCACGTGAGTGTGGCCCTATCTTCGGTACAAGAGCCAGACCCTGCAACCTCGTTCATTTCTGACCATTCACATGGAAACTTCATGCTAGCCGAAATCTCTAAAGTGACAAATTTGATGTTCATTTTATTTTATTTTGGGGTATAATAATAAACTTAACTTCCATGTTTTTGGCAAATTTAGACCTTCTGAGGGTTATATTTTTTTTTAACAGACACCAGATTACTCCCAAATTAACTTGGCACATTCAGCAAACATCTCAAAAATAATTTCTGAACTGCGTTAAATTCGAAGCATTGTAACAATGCCCTGGTGCTGCCCAGCATAATCTGCCAGTGTTTTAGCACGGTCTGAGACTTTCCTTGGTCAAGGCAGACGTCCGCACTGGGTCTAGTCTTCCCAGAGCTCATTCATTGACTGAGTGTCAACTAGGTACTATCAGCCTGTTAGTCTGTCAATGACTGTCTGTCTTCAATAAATTGCCACTCAGCTGTTCCAGACCAAAGCAGCACAGGCTCCTGGCAGGACCCAGGGAAGTGTCAAACTATCTCAATGTGGATTGACAGATCACACTGCATCGACGCCAGGAAACTTCTGGCACTATAACTACTACAGTGAGCAATAGTGATTATGATGTGCTGAGCATTCCTTGTGAAGTTCAAAGATTTTAACAGATTTCTGTAATTCAAAATCCAAACTGGAGAATAAACCAGACTGTATTTCTCTGTAGACATTTGTATCATTGACTGTGCCTCCAAGTTACTTTGATTTAAAGGTGCACTCTGGGCACCATAAGAACTTCACTCTTACATCAAACCTTTCTCAAATGTTTAACCCATACTTGAGCCTCCAGGTTCTATTTCAACCACCCATCAGGTGGCATCCGGCTTCTGAAATCTCAGTTTCAGGGAGTATAGAGTGTCGCCGAAGAGGGGTGCCGCTGATCAGCTGACACTCTAAAATGGTGACTCTCCTTTCATAACACTGGCTTGAAAAGAAATGCAGCTTTTTCAAACCAGTTTTATGAATGGGAAGACACTGATTGGCTGAGAGCGTCAATAAGTGGTGCTCCTTCTCGGTGGCACAACACGCTGAGATTTCAGAAGCCAGATGCCACTTGGGATTGTGAAGATCGGCGCTGGAGGCTCTCTTAGGGGATAACCCTTTGGGATAAGAGTGCCTCCTAGCACCATTCATTTAGATTAAGAGTTATGGTGCCTAAACGGTCTCTTTAATATCTGCAATTTTAGATAAACTTCGGAGCTTAGTGAATAATTCTGCAAGTGTGAACCATTAGTATTTGTTCTGCTATAGGCCGGATAATCTGCTAATTCACAGAGATGTCCATTATGTGAGTGCTGCATAGTAACATGTTCATCTTTCTATTTGTTTGCTGTCTGTGGACCATCCTTAGTCTGATTGTCAGCAGGAAGGAGAGAAGATTACAGAAGGGAAGTGGCTTCCACTTGGACCTTCTGCTTATCGGTTCCCTTGGTGGCGTGTGCGCTCTCTTTGGGCTGCCATGGCTGACAGCGACCACTGTGCGCTCTGTTACCCACATCAACGCACTGACTCTAATGAGCAAAACCGCACCCGGAGAAAGGCCACGGATTGCAGAGGTCAAAGAGCAGAGAGTAACTGGAGTACTGATTGCAATTCTTGTAGGTGAGAGTAATTGGAGTACTGATTGCAACTCTAGTAGGTGAGAGTAATTGGAGTACTGATTGCAACTCTAGTAGGTGAGAGTAATTGGAGTACTGATTGCAACTCTAGTAGGTGAGAGTAATTGGAGTACTGATTGTGACTCTAGTAGATGAGAGTAACTGGAGTACTGATTGCGACTCTAGTAGGTGAGAGTAATTGGAGTACTGATTGCGACTCTAGTAGGTGAGAGTAATTGGAGTACTGATTGCGACTCTAGTAGGTGAGAGTAATTGGAGTACTGATTGCAACTCTAGTAGGTGAGAGTAATTGGAGTACTGATTGCAACTCTAGTAGATGAGAGTAACTGGAGTACTGATTGCGACTCTAGTAGGTGAGAGTAATTGGAGTACTGATTGTGACTCTAGTAGATGAGAGTAACTGAAGTACTGATTGCGACTCTAGTAGGTGAGAGTAATTGGAGTACTGATTGTGACTCTAGTAGATGAGAGTAACTGGAGTACTGATTGCGACTCTAGTAGGTGAGAGTAATTGGAGTACTGATTGAACTGAGGTGAGAGTAATTGGAGTACTGATTGCGAGTACTGATTGCGACTCTAGTAGGTGAGAGTAATTGAAGTACTGATTGCAACTCTAGTAGGTGAGAGTAATTGAAGTACTGATTGGTATACTAGGCCGGAGTAATTGGAGTAACAATTGCAATTATACTAGATGAGAGTAACTGGAGTACTTATTGCGACTCTAGTACTGAAGTGTACTGATGGCAACTCTAATAGTTGAGAGTATTTGGAGTACTAATTGCGACTCTAGTAGGTGAGAGTAAGTGGAGTACTGATTGCGACTCTAGTAGATGAGAGTAACTGGAGTACTGATTGCGACTCTAGTAGGTGAGAGTAATTGGAGTACTGATTGTGACTCTAGTAGATGAGAGTAACTGGAGTACTAATTGCGACTCTAGTAGGTGAGAGTAAGTGGAGTACTGATTGTGACTCTAGTAGATGAGAGTAACTGGAGTACTGATTGCGACTCTAGTAGGTGAGAGTAATTGGAGTACTGATTGCGACTCTAGTAGGTGAGAGTAATTGAAGTACTGATTGAAAGTATACTAGGCCGGAGTAATTGGAGTAACAATTGCAATTATACTAGATGAGAGTAACTGGAGTACTTATTGCGACTCTAGTAGGTAAGATTAACTGAAGTACTCTAGTAGGTGAGAGTAATTGGAGTACTGATGGCAACTCTAATAGTTGAGAGTATTTGGAGTACTAATTGCGACTCTAGTAGGTGAGAGTAAGTGGAGTACTGTTTGCAACTATTGTAGGTGAGAGTAATTGGAGTACTGATTGCGACTCTAGTAGGTGAGAGTAATTGAAGTACTGATTGAAAGTATACTAGGCCGGAGTAATTGGAGTAACAATTGCAATTATACTAGAAGAGAGTAACAGGAGTTCTGATTGTAACTCTAGTAGGTGAGATTTTCCGCAGTGCTAAATGCTTAGTTCTCCAAGATGTACAGATAAGTTCAAGTCACAAGTTTTTTAGAATGTAAGCTTTTTTGATCAGGGCCCTCAACACCCTCTGTTCCTGCGCATCAAACTCGTCTTGTTGCAAATACAAGTCTGTTAGTCCACCTATTGTACAGCGCTACAGAATTTGTTGGCGCTTTATAAATAATAATAAAAATAGAGAAACAAGAGGTAGTGAGGCCTCAAATGAGCTGACAATATAAACTGACTACTTATTGAAATTCAGAGTAACGTAGACGCCAGCTTAGATGGAATTATAAGTGTTTGACAGTTGTTTACATACGGCTTGTGTTTTGCATTCCATTCACTTTCATTATGTTTACACAACCAATTCACAGTCATTCATCTTTCACTGCTTTGATGCAGACAGTAGAATTTCTGGTCTGTTTAGTTTCATGTCTTCTCTTATATAGATTTAGGACATTGCTGCTATTACTGAAAACACCTTTACAGGTGGCAAAAGCAAAACGTAGCCTTTTAGTTAACTAGGATTCCCATCATCCCCACTCATGTACTTAACCAGGACACCCATCATCCTCACAAAGCAGAGTTAGAATCGGTAAATTACTAGCTAAGCTGCCTGAAATTGGCATCCTGGTTGAAAATGATCATTTTCTACATCATTTATTTTATAAAGTACTCTGCAATGGTTATGTAGAGAACGAAAACACGATTTCAGGATATTCCCTGGCGGCCTGGCCCATCCCTGGCAATTCTCTGTTTAGTAAATAACCAGGAATGTCTGGATATGATGCAGATTTTTTTTACCAATCACAAAATTGCAAAATAAAATGGTTCTATAAAACCGAATGGCAAAATAAAATGGTTCTATTAAACCGAATGGCAAAATAAAATGGTTCTATATTGTTAGGAACACAACTATGTATCCACCCCCTTCCTCCCCACTCCGCCTGGCATGTAAAAGGTTAAAAACCCTTTGTTCTATTACCTGAGTCAGTGCCGATGTCCCTTGGAGCTGGGTCAGCGCTCTGCCTCCTTCAGCGTCATTTGCTGGGGGACTCAATGCACATGCGTGGTAAGCACTGGGAGTACATTAGGCCCTCCTCATCGGAAAACATTGACTCAATGCTTTCCTATGGGGAGTTTACTGGTGCTGGCTGTCCTCATGGAGGGCGTGAGGACGTCTAGCGTCAGATGACCCAGAGTCCATTAAACTCCCATCTGGTAGAAAGGTGCTGGAGGCTGTCTTTGTCCTGTCTAAAACAATATTATTTTACATTGCAGGACTAAAGGGGACAGGGACACTTCACCCAGATCACTATAATGAGATGAAGGGGTGTGGGTGCCTATATTGTCCTTTAATCCTAAAATTGGCAAACTATTATAATAATTTTTCCAAACCATACATTTTTGCCTATATTTTGCAATTTGGTCTACAATTTACTACCCAAACTGCCATCAGAAATTCAGACCCCCGAGTCTGCACACAAGGATAAGTATATATGGCTGAAGTGTGTATAGTGGATGCAGAGTGTGTGTATATTGAATGCAGTGTGTGTTTGTGTAGTGAGTGCAGTTCGTGCAGTGAATTCAGAGTCTGTGTTTGTGTAGTGGATACAGTGTGTGTTTGTGTAGTGAATGCAGTGCGTGTGTTTGTGTAGTAGATGCAGTGTGTAGTGAATGCAGTGTCTATGTAGTGGATGCAGTGTGTATAGTGAATGCAGTGTGTATGTAGTAGGTGCAGTATGTGTGTTTGTGTAGTGGATGCCGTGTGTGTATTTGTTTAGTGGATGCAGTGTGTCTGTGATTTTGTAGAGGATGCAGTCGCTTGGTCAAAAATTTTAAATTCCCTTTCTAATTCAGGAAAAATACATTGAGATTTCAATCATTTTCAAGTATCAAGTATGTCTCATTTCCATAGCTAGAAAAAAAAAAAGACTTTTTCACATTGAAATCAGTCAATCAGAATGCAGTATTTTTTCTTGATGAATTATGGTGAATTTTTGCTCAATACAATGGTTTGTAGGTATGGGAAAACATGCTTGGGTAAACATACATAAATAAGGAGCAGTCAGCATGGAAGCCAATGGAATGGTCCTGACATTGAGCACATAGTTCCAGAATAGCCCATAATACGCCTGGCCCATTTTTCCGTGACACTAACCTTTGTTCTGTAGACATTGTGCTGAACTGTGTTCTTTGTTTCGGTCACAGGGCTTTCGATAGTGATGGAGGAAATGTTGCGTCAGATCCCGCTGGCCGTACTCTTTGGGATATTTCTCTACATGGGCGTGACGTCCCTGACTGGGATCCAACTCTTCGAGAGACTTCTCCTCATTCTCATGCACCCCAAACATCACCCAGATCACCCCTATGTGGTCAAAGTGAGCAGGGATCAATATTTGTACATTCTTAACGCATCACGAAGCTGTGTTTAGCCATTTTATATAAACATGACGGACATACATGACTGTATACATCTATGTCAGAGAGAGAACGATCCCATATGTACATAAGCAATAATCTATTATTTATATAGCTGTGCCTGGGGATTACAATCTAAAGTGCTGGAGCCGCAGTTTGGTAAACATTTAAATGCCTGTTTAAAAGAAGCTCTATTGGATCAGCTGTACATTAAACATATAATAATAGCTGCATTACAAAGATGAGTGTAAACATCACTGCGGCGCGAGTCGATATCTGACTTGCAAAACTTACCCTAAAACAGCCAGATTGGGCACAAATTCCCAACTCTGATGAATGTGAATACCCCTGATTATATCATTTGAAATAACTCTGTCAATATCTGATGGAAATTGTCATTGTCTAAAAATCCAAGTTGTAGTATTCCCTACTTTGTCTTGTGGAATTTTTGGATTATGTTAGAATTTTAATAAAACCCAACGCAGTCAGCACCATTATTAAATACCAAGAACTGCCAGAGCTGCTTTATCTGCGGATGGTGTAGCCCAGGAGCATCATGGGAGATGTAGTCCAAAACATCTTGAGTGCTGAAGGTTGCCTACTCATGTTGTAGCCTCATGTATCATTCTAATTGTATGTGGTTTCTTACAAGCATTTTTATGTTTGTAAGAAATGTTTGCGAGGCCCTATGCTAGCTTTTACACATTTACAGTGTGATTTGTGCTTGAATATTTTTCAGATGCTAATTATATGTTCCTGATAAATACAATATTGTTTACTGCACTTCATCTTTAAATATGTAGACTTGATAGATTCTGTTGCACATGAGAAGCTCAATCTGTTTTTCTTTATCTGAGGATATAGCAGGAGTTTACATAGACGTTTGTCCACCGTGTCTGCCTGATTCGGACTCTAACAGAGTGAATTCTTGTTTGCAGGTGTGCACATGGAGAATGCACCTTTTCACCTGTGTGCAGCTCTCCTGCATTGTGCTTCTCTGGGTAGTGAAATCCTCTCCAGCATCGCTAGCCTTCCCCTTCCTCCTCATCCTGACGGTTCCGCTCAGACGCTTCATATTGCCGAGATTCTTCCATGAGAGAGAGCTGAAGGCTGTAAGTTCCAATGTGTATTTTTTGCTGGTTAGTTAAATAGTCTATAAGCTACGTTCCCATACCCGACGATTGTTATAGTGCAGCAGGCTTCTTCTCCATTTCCATTTCCTGTTCTTGTTTTTTATAAATATTTTTTATCTTCATTCATGACCCCCTGCCTACATGTCTGTCTGTCCATCCAGCTAAATCACATTTTGCCTATCTCTTCTCATGCTTTTCATGTTTCAGTTGGATTCCGAAGATGTTGAACCAAACTTTGATGAAGATGGTCAGGATGAATATAATGAGTTGCATATGCCGGTCTGAGGACTGATATCTTAATATATTCTACTCTCCGTCTCTCGTTCCATTTTGTTATGGAATTCCAAGTCTGCCCTACACTTTTTCATGTCTGTTTGTATACAGAGGGCCAGAGATCCTTCATCCAACAATCTACTCTTTAACCTACACATGACTCTTTATCCTGGGACTGGTCTCCTCTACGACTGTTCTGTAACTCTTGCAACCTGTTACTCATGTTGAACCTTTTCTGATTACATTCTAACTCACGGGTGAAAATTAGACAAACGGAACATTATAGCCATCATAACAGGATGATCTAAAAGATAAAAATGGTCCAGTGTCACAACCTCCAGATTTCTTCATACCCTGCCAAATATTGGCCCAGCTCGCAGATATGTACTTTAATTAGAAACTGATTAAAACACCCAGCTGAGAAGGATGTGGTGGCAATCCACCGGCACATGTCTGCCATCTAAAGGGACTCACATGTTAAGTCCAACACGTTTAACGGACTTGAAAGAATTTTCTTGTAAACATTGTAATGATGAAAAAACCCTTAGAATATGTAATCTGATAATGTTTTGTATAGAGAGGTAGGGATAGGAGACACTAAGATTTTATACCATGGAGGGAAATTACTTTAGGTGGGAGACCCCTAATCAATGCATTTTTTTTAATATAATTATGTGATCTTAATTTGGGCATCCACTTAGCATAGTGTGCCCTCTTTTCCTTGGTTGCCCTCTCCTTCGCTAGTTGTAGATGATGCTTGGCTGTATGCTGACAGACATGCACGAGCCGGATATTGAGCGCTGTATCCATGAAATGTAAGTGATGAACACTTCCAAGATTGTCTCAAAAAAGCATCACCCTCTGAAAATAAATCGATGTCAAGCGATGACACAGGCAGTGTACCTTCTTATCACTTTAGTTTTAGAGGAACCCAGTGCAGGAACCATTTTTAACCGCTTAAGGACACATGACGTGTGACATGTCATGATTCCCTTTTATTCCAGAATTTTGGTCCTTAAGGGGTTAACATTATGTATATAACAACAGCACTCCGCAATTTGCATTGAGACCTTTAATACTGATTTCTTCTGTGCTAAATGCAATTCCTTTCTTGACTGTTTCAGCATTGACCCGTTCACAGTAATGCACATTCACACAGCGTGTAGTGTTACTGAGAAACCCTGTTTTTGCGTTTATTTGCTAATTTAGCATGAGCCCCATCTCAGTGTAAGTTATCCTGTTATCCCGCTGTATTTGCACAAATAAATGTGTCTGTTGGAGTGTGATGCTGTGACTGACTGAAGACTCGGAGCTTCCTATATCTGCTCTGCTAGCATTAAAAAAATGAAAATAAATGTAAATTTTTACCATCTTTTATTCTGCTTTATATATATATATTTTTTAATATATCCACATTGACAATTATAAATACTACACTACTTACTCTCAGTACTTGCCACAAACCACTATAAAATGTTTGACAAATTCCACGCGTTCAATTACATGTCTCTTTCCTACATACAAATTCTTCAATTAATTATTTATGATCGCTATTATGTCTTTGGAAAATTATTAAGCATCCAAAGAAAATAATACAAAGAAAATCACACAATACTTTAAATGAATAGGCTAGAGAAGGCTACAACTTCGTATTTAGTCCAAAAAGAATAATAGACCTGTATAATATTATATATTATAATTATTATATTCTACATTTTGCACATTTTTCTTACATTTATTTTCATGCACATTACCAAAGGTTAACATAACCCATGAGGTTAATCTTTATTACCATAAACGAACCAATATTTGGCATCGATATGTCTAATCCAACCAGTACCCCGACCAAACCCAATTGCAATACACACCTATCTGTCCATACAGGGATCATGCAAAATTATTTCTGTGCGAAGCACCACGTGGGGCTCATAGGTAACCCCCTATTGAATCACATCATTGGCTGCGAGCAAGGAAAGATTGCCAAATACTTTAATACTAATTTGAAATAAATAGTATGAATATATCCATGAAGAAAGTGCACAGTTTGTATCACATGTGCTTTATCCTGTTGTATCAAATTGCTCATATTTGTCTGCACAATGACAGATTTCATTATTGTGAACTCTTTTGAAAAACACGGTAGTGTGTATTATTGGTAGAAAAAAATGATTAATTCTGTACTGTGTCTGGCAGGACTTTAAGTTGCTGCCCAGCACCAACTTAATCTTATTGCATTCCAGATTGTGGCAGAGCGCTACTGTAAGGCGCTATACGATACGCCATAGAAATACTCATTGAGCTCTGATATAATGTCCATTATAATAATAATTCAACCTTCATTTATTATGACTAAATTATTATCAATTTCTGATTTGCAAAAAATGTACAAAAATATCATAAAATTCACTAAAACTATGTTAAAAGCTGTGAATTGAAAATCGTGTAAATTAATGGTAAATTGTGTAAATTTTGATACTGCCGCAGAATTGATCATTTATCATACATTGTGTACAAATATAACTTATATGAGAATGACGCAAATCTAAATGCTGTACTTGTAGATTTCTAGTGCAAAGAAATTCAATTTCTAATTTAGAATTAGCATTTCTCTTGTGAATTATCTGCATTTCCCAGTTTAGCTAATAAATCCCATTATCTGCATGCCTATATCTCACATTATCTGGGATTTATTCAATAAACTGGAAAATATAGAGAATTTGATACAATCATTTCAAATAATGGAATATGATTCAGTTATTTTTGGATACAATTTATGATTTCCTTGTAAATTCACCCCAGTTTCTGATTTAGTTAATAAACCCCTGTCCCTGGTGTGCGTTTGCTTTCTATCGATGTGAATGTACAAACCATCAAAAACCAGACTGTGTCATAGAATATGAATCCAGGTAAACTAATTCTCATTGCTGTGTCTGGTTCCGTGTTACATTCGAATGTCGTAACACGTTTTGAATGTAGTGGTGAAAAAACGTTTGTTACTGTTCACAATATATTTAGAAGATTGATGGTATATATTTATGATGGTAAAAGTTTTTTGTGTCTTTGTCAATGTCCCAGTCCTCCCAGAAAAATAGTCTATGCGTTCATTGGGGGGTGAAGACGTCAGATGTTCGCGTGGACGTCTGGGAGAAGACAGAGCTGCTGTCCCAATCTGTGTCACTAGGTGCTCCCAGAGAATCTGGTGGGGAAGTCTCACGCTTCTCTTTCCTTGGACCCAGGGCTGCTTCTAGCTGATCACAGCGTTCACGCACCTGCAGAGTACGATATATCAATCAAGACAGATACAAGATATTACAATTATTTATATAGACCCAACATATTTTGCAGCGCTGTTCAATCGATAAAACAAGACAAAAAGCGGCATACATACCACGGTCGCGGTGGTTGCAGCTGCGACCGGGTACCATCTGCCACGTTTTGTGGCCCCAGCCCGTGCGGCAAACCTCCGGGGCCGCATATGGAGGGGTCCATCAAAAGGCCCATGCTGTCAGGGCCACCCAATGGACATGGATTGTCAGGGGGCCCGGTCAGTGCTGGGCGCTTTAACAGCGCGACCGGGCCCCCTGTGATTACATCACTGCTGGGAGGAAGTGACTCCCCGGTCACTCCTCCCAGCTATCAGGACCCGCGCGGGAGGAAGGAGGAGGAGGGAGTCAGAGTGAGAACTCTGACTCCCATCAGGCTGAGCCCCCAGAGAAAGTCACAAGGTAGGAAACATTTTGTATATGTATGTCTCTGTATGTGTCTGTGTCTCTGTATGTGTGTCTGTGTCTCTGTATGTGTGTGTCTGTGTCTCTGTATGTATGAGTGTGTGTCTGTGTGTCTGTATGTGTCTGTGTCTCTGTATGTGTGTCTGTGTCTCTGTATGTATGTGTGTGTGTGTGTGTCTCTATGTGTGTGTGTGTCTCTGTATGTATGTGTGTGTGTGTCTATGTGTGTGTGTCTGTGTCTCTGTATGTGTGTGTGTCTCTGTATGGTCTGTTTCTCTGAATGTATGTGTGTCTCTGTATGTGTGTGTATGTGTGTTTGTCTGTGTCTCTGTATGTGTATGTATGTGTCTGTCTGTGTATATATGTGTGTGTCTGTCGGGGGGTGTATATATGTGTGTGCGTTTGTGTCTGTCTGTATGTATGTGTCGGTGGGTATGGGGGGGGGCACGGATCGGGGGAGTGTGGGGGGCCCACGGTTCAGGTTCGCACCGGGGCCCCATGGATTGTGTGTACGCCACTGAAGACAAACAATTAATTCTAATTAAACATGTTTGACATATGAGAATAGTAAGAGAAGATGGTTCTGCCCAAACAAGCTTACAATCTAAAATGTTATTACAAAAAGAGATCTTAAAAGGACACTATAGTAACCTGGACCACTTCAGCTCATTGTCCCCATCCCCCTTAGTCCTCCAATGTAAATCATTGCAGTTCTTGAGAAACTGCAATGATTACATTGCAGGACTAAGACTGCCTCTAGTGGCTGTCAATCAGGCAGCCATTAGAGGCCCTTCCTGGTGGCTTTTGGTCACCAGATGCTGAATGTCCCCACACACTGCATGTGAACATCCAGCTTCACTTAATCCCCACAGGAAAGCATTGCAGTAATGCTTTCCTATTGGGAGGACCTAATGCGCTTGAGGAGCAATAATTATGATGAATAAGGAATTGCCATAAATAAAGTAACAGGGTTTATTAACTAATATGTAAGTTGATGGACTGACAAACGACTTGGTAATTTTAGTGTAAAATAGAATTATTTTGCAGCTATGCAATGTTAAGTTTTTTGTTTAGATGCAACTACGAAACTCTGCAATAAAGTGTTAATAAATCATATCTCCATATGTCTTGATACCATAAAGAAAAAAATATTCATATAAAAAAAAACAACACAGGTAACAGTTTACAGACATTTAAATTAAACATGATATGGAAAGATGTAAATGGAGAATATATTCTTCCCTTTTGTTATCATCACTGCTCTAAACTGTGCAAAGTCTGTTTCACCCACACACACAGAAACTGGAGAGAGAGCTCCAAGTCACCATAACCTGACTTAAATCCAACTCTAACCCTTTTGAGAGGGGAGCAGGTCAGGTGTAATATGCCACTTTGGGAATTGTGTAAAAGTCCTCTCTCTTAATTCATTGTAAAACCTGAAAATGAAAGGTTTTACTTGGTTGGAATCCAGCACCAGCAAAGCTCCTGGAACTGATCCTTCGCACCCATTCCTGACGTGACTCACAGAGAACCTGTGATTGGACCATATTTCTGAATCAGAGCACATGCGTGCGATCTGTGATAGGAAGGGGAGGGAGGACGAGGGAGGGAAAGGGGATCAAGGAGGGAGAGGATTTTTTAAAAAAAGAGAAAATGAGCGACAGAGCTAGGTAGGAGGCAGAACCCACAGGAGGGAGAGTGGGAGAGGAAAGGTAGCACGCTGCTTGCAAGGGGATCATTTTCACGTCTGTTGTCAAAATTATGTGCGCGGTGACAATGGGCAAAATTTATGCACAAAATTGACATTAGACAGCCCAGAACAGGGCTGCCAATATCACGTGTGCTGGGGGTGCAAGTAGCCCCCAGCACACAATTAGCAATAACTCACAATTAACAATGACTCTGAAGTGGTCATGGTGGTTAGAGTAACCCATTAACAAATTGTGTGTGATTTTAAACCTGCGATCTACTCTTCGACCAGCAGAAGGCACTGCTGCTTGTTTTAAACCACATTATCTTGTTAAACTGAATCTGTTCCTAATCCTTACATTATGCAGAACTAGAAAAGATAGCTCTGAGATGGCCTACGCTAGGCTGTCCTGGCACACTGTCAATTATTGAATCCCCACGATGCAATGCATGTGTTCCTCGAGGGTACACATGGCACTGTGCTAAGCACTTTTCAAGCAGATGCCAGCCTGTTGTGGAGATAGGCGTTTTTTTTACTTACCTCTGATGCAATACTCCCCAACAAGGGCTCCGTAGCATTTACTGGGACAATGGAATGCAGAACTGAGAGTTCTACTTTAAGTTTCTAAATGTGTCTTTATAATATGCAACATTCTCCCACGGCCGGTTCTGATATATGACTATAAATAATAGTGCTAATTGTGGTGTTTGTTTAGGGAAATAAAACTAAGTTAAGCAATAGCAAATACTTTCTGGTTAATGTACTTTAATTAGCAAACACAAAGTTTATAATAATGTGCAAAATGTTTGTGTACATTGGGGGGGATTATCCTGCGTATAATTGCATGGATTCCTATTTTATATAATTTAGTGTTGCAGCATTAACGAAATTTCTGAGCAGCAAAATATGGTCAGTCACCAAACACTGGTATCTATTCTGACATCTGGTCAAAAGCAATAGAACATACGCTACTCATGGTCTAAGTGCCTAAACATTGTGTACACTTTCCTTCATCGTTTTATTGTACACGGATATAATATTGGTAGGTAAATACACCTAATTTCTCAAACGTTCTCAGACTTTGCATATATACTGAAATGTTAATGCAGAACCAAAAACGCATGCGCGTTCTTCACTAATGTGTGAACTGTCAGAAAACAACAGTGAATTCAAAGTCAATTTTAAACATTTGGTTAAAAATAATTAAAATGAAAACTGTTGACCAAATAGGTAATTTGTTCTAAATTTTAAATGTCCATTTGAATTCACAAATTGCTGGCTTCTAGCTTAAGGTAATGCAAATTTGGGTTGATAAAATATCGATCCATTAATCTGCGTTCGTGCCCCCTTCAACCACACCTTTAACCAATATGCTACATTTATAGCATGTGACTTAGTTTATTAAAATAATGTATGTTTACTGTCTGTCACTTACTGTATCAATCTGCCTGATTAGAGATGGACGGGCCTCCAGTTCTAACTGCCAATCAGAGTTCAGGATTTGTTGGTGAAATCGTTCTAAGTCTAGCTGTCTTTTAAGTTTCTCTACCTTCTCCCGACTCTCTGGTCCTTCCTCCTGAAGTAACTGTTGCATGTCATTGACATTGCCCTGAAGAACTTGCACTTTCTGGTTAACGTCCTTCACTTGTAATTCTAGAGCCTCAGCTCTACCAGCTCTCCAGAGCAAAAACATCATGTACTCCCTCATGTCCTTCACTTGAGATTGAATTTCCGGGTCACCTTCAGGAATATCTCGAGACTCACTCCAGTTTTTATGTTCTTTAGGAAGGCCGTTCTGGAATTCACTGCTCAGGCACACTTGAGGGGCTTGTTGGGAGGTGTGCATGTTGTCCTTATAATATGTTTCATGAATAAAGATCCATTGGTTTGCTAGTTTAGCTGTTACCAGACTCTCCTCGAAGATATCTTGGATACAGTGCATCAACAGAGTTGAGTGAGATGGTCCATGGATTTGCTGAGTCTGCTCATGGTTTCTAGCACTTAGCAGAAGGGCCCAAGTACGCCGGTGGTGAAAAAGCTGTCGAGCTGTAGCGGCAATGTTAGTCGGGGCCAGAGGAAACTGTAAACCCTTGGCTGGCAAAGCATCTCCCTCATCATTCACATAGAGGTTGTCGCAAAGTGGGAATACAACGTGATCATCAAAAGAGTTCTTCATAGAGCGCAGATAATCCACGTAGGACAAGAGCCAGGAAAGGTAGTCCCGAAACTGTCCTCCTTGGTCTCCAGAGATGTTTCCATCCTTCACAAAGTTCTCTATGTGCTTCCAGCTATCCAGCTGTGTCTTGTGAACTTCAGAAAGCAGACCTAGCACTCTCTGCAGAGTCGGGAGGTCAAAGTTCACACGACACTTGTGAACTTGATCCTCAAAAAGCCTTAGTTCTTCCCGTAGAGACTCGTACAATCTGTCCATCCTAAATTCAAAATGTAGGATCTACTCCTCGACCTTCAGTCATTTCTGTTAATTTTAGATATGGTTTTTACCTATGTCTCTCAGCTTCCTTGACCGGATAGTCTCTTTATCTCATAACCTTCTAGCAGCACTGTTACTGAACATGTTTATGAATCTTGTCACACAGTGTTTCTTGTCCCACAGTTATCTTCTCTCACTTAGTGATTTTTACACAAGTCCTCTTTCTGAGTTAAGATTATCCTTTTGCAGATACCTTGTCCTTAACTTGCTTTGCCTCTCTCTATCCCTCTGTCACTAATGTGTCCCTCTCTCAGTGTACAGACGTCTCGGGCAGCTTTTCACTCCAGCTTCCAGTTATTTTGTTACTGACAATCGTTAGAAGCTACCTTGTTGCACAGCAACTAGGAAACAGGTTCAGGCGTGTTCCTGCTGATAAAATAGTTTGCTTGGTCACTATCAATTACAACCATTAACCAGACAAAGGTATTCATTGTAACGGGAAATCATATAAAGAGATAAAAGTCAGGTTTCCACTGGTGGCTGATTGGTTTATTGACACCTTTACACACCTGTTAGGTAGGATTATATTATTTATTTTATTGTATTAATAAAGGAACATTTCCATGGTAATGTTTTATATTTATCAGATCAGCAGTATTTATCCATGCCTAAAGCTGTACCTCCAGTTACTTAAATGTGTGTAGGCATTTGGGATAGTGCGCAAGTAACTATGTTCTTTGGTTTTTGCAGGACTGATGTATACTATGGCCATTGCTGCCGCCCAGGAGTAGTGGGAGTTTGAGCACAGGATTTATTTCTGGATATTTGTACATGTATGTGCACTGGATTTCAGCAGACACAAATAGAAATGGATGACTGGAATTCAGATTTGGATGCTGAATATTCAGATTATTTGTCATCTGGTGATAAAAGGGTTAAATAAATATGGCTGCTGGCGCTACCCAGCTTCCACATGAAATAGTGGGACACTATAGTCATCAAAACAACTTTAGCTTACTGAAGCAGTTTTGGTATATAGATCATGCCCCTGCAGTCTCACTGCTCAATTATCTGCCATTTAGGAGTTAAATCACTTTAGTTTCTGTTCATGCAGATAATACACAAAAACTGTTTCATTAAGCTAAAGTTGTTTTGGTAATAGTGTCCCTTTAACTAAAAAGTATATAGGGGTAATTGTGACCATCCTAACTACAAAGACCTCCCTTAACATCTGCTATTATTATGATGATGATTTATATGGGGCTATTTTGAGAACAAGAAATTGACATACAAAGAGACCAGATATAGGCCCTGCTCAAACAAGCTTACAATCTCGGAGATCCGACACATCCACTACATGGTTGAAGAACATATGATCAGAGACTGCTTAAAGGAACACTACAGGGTCAGGAACACAAACATGTATTCCTAACCCCTATAGTGCAAAACTCACCATTAACGTGGCTTGCCCCCCCTATTCCCTTTAAAAGCCTAAAAAACTCACCTTATTTCCAGCGCCGTGTGGGTCCACCGTCTGGAGCTCCGAAAGACCATTTTTAATGGTGCGTTGCATGTTTAGCTGGGAGTCCAGGAAATAAATATGTATAGCGAAAGAAAACTTCTATATATATATATATATATATATATAAAAAAAAAGTTTTTCGTAATCGTGCACCAAATAGTTTTTCTATATTTTCAGTAGTCTATATTTAAGTATCTATGACATATTTTGAGTGTGACTTATAAATACAATATATTACAGTTAGAACCTTTCTTATCCCTACCTTGTCTAATTTCCTACTATTGAAATCAATATATTAAAACAGTTTGAAAGTCTGTCCAAAAATATAAAGTCATTTGAAAAGCTTATCCAAAAATATTAAAGGATCACTATAGGGTCAGGAACATAAACATGTATTCCTGACCCTATAATGCTAAACCCACCATTTAGGTAGCTTGCCCCCCTTAACCCCCCAATAAAAGTATAAAACTCACCTTATTTCCAGCGCCGTGCGGGTCCACTGGCGCTGGCTCCGCCCCCTTTGTGACATCATCGAAATGGCCGATTTTTAGCCAATCCAATGCTTTCCCATAGGAAAATGCCGTTTTGGCCAATCAGCACCTCCTTATAGAGATGCATTGAATCAATGCATCTCTATGAGGAAAATTCAGCGTCTCAATGCAGAGCTGCTTATTGTGCAGCCCTGAGCCAGGAAGCCTCTCCAGTGGCCACTTGGTGGTGTCCCTAGGGGCAATGTAAGCACTGCCTTTTCTCTGAAGTCAGTGTTTACATGAAAATGCCTGAAGGGAGCAATTATACTCACCAGAACAACTACAGTAAGCTGTAGTTGTTCTGGTGACTATAGTGTCCCTTTAACCTTGAGTACTATATCCACGGATCAATGGGATGGGGTATCGGCTCTGCGGTGGGCAGTTTAACCCCTATATGCCTTTTACTGTACCCCACTAGCCAGCTGCCACATTAGCTCTTGTATTGGATCACAGTTCTTTTTTTTAACTATTTGTCCGCTGGCCGATAGATAGTTGGCCCAGTAAACTAAACTGATAAATGAGCACATTTAATTTAAATAAATAAAAATTTCAGTAAATATATGTGCTGACTGCATTTTAAGTTATATTTAATTAAATTTAGTGTTTTGATCTGTGTACGTTGAAGCTGCGCCAAATTCCAGATTCTCTTCTCGCGTTCTGCAACTTATAGCTGTGCTGACAGGTCCTCTTATAATGCTCTCACTGCCAGCACCTTCATTAGTCAGACGTGAGATAGGATGGCAGTAGCACAATATCCTGAAGGTAAATGAGAAAACACAGTATTTCGCAAATACAGAAGTAGCACAGCTTTTCGCAAGATTTACTACAATCAGAATGGAACTATGGGCCATCATGAGCCGGCAGTCGATTTAGTTTTGGATGACAAGGCCTGCTTCAGGTGGGTATACAAAATATATGTATATGTTGTAATGGAAAAAAAAAAACAGGAAACTGATATACTGAATGGGCATGCCATGCACCATAACCACTGCAGTACAGTTTATTGGTCATGGAGTTGTAAGTCTGTGGACGCCATCCCACATTTTTTAAGAAACCCTTTTAGAGTGGGTGGACAAAAACTGTCTCTCTCTCTGCCCACCGAGCTTTAAGGCTCACTTAGAGCTTTACGTTTGTAAGCTTAAAATACACTATAATTATCTGAACCTTTGTTGTTGCTCATCCCTCCTAGTTCCACTTCCTCATTTGAAATCTTTATAAGCCTTTGAGGTTTCCTGGCCCTGAATCTCACTTCTCTCTGAGATACGGGCCGAGGAGCCACAAGAACTGGACACAGACTAGATCTGAGTACTGCAGGACGCAATGAAATCATGCAATTTACGTATTATGAAAATGTATGGCATAAAGCTACAGGAAGGAACCATTTCACTTCTGTAGAAGACATACTATTCCAGAAAATCTTATTTTTGTTCCTGAAACTTCATGTATTTTATTGTAAAAAGTGTCACTTATTTGTTAATTATTGGATCACCTATTTAAGTGGTTTGGTTGTTCCACCACCACTGTTTATATATATATGTATATTAGGAGAAGCAAATTCTACCATGCTATAAGATATTTCCCATGATGCTCTGCCAGCCTGGATATGTCTCCAACAGGCGCAGCGTGAGCACATCATTAGAAACGCTTGCGCTATATTCAGGGCACTAGGACCCTGCAGGACGCACTAACACAGTGCTCCCTGCAGGGTCAGTCCTCAGTCTGGGCTTTCCCAGCTTTCACACCAGGCTGACCTGCCAGTAATTGAGGTGGACGTGCCCTTTTCTGGGTGGGTCTGTATGTTTTGGGGTGGAGCCAGTGGCGTGATCATGTCACAGACCCACCCCTTTTTATCCTCTCCTCCCACCATCATCCCGCTTCACGGGAAGCCAGAGTTGGGAGATTTGAGATTGGATTTTGCCCCCTACCCTTATTTTTAATGGATTACAGAGATAAATGATATATACAAATATAAAAGATGACAAAATAAAAAAAAGAGTTTTGCAGTATGCAATGATATCTTTTTATTAAACATAATATTTTAAAGACCCTGACATTCTATATCAGTAAATATAATAAAAAGGATAAGAAGCAATTTTTTACTTCCCTATGTCCATGAGCCCCTGTTACATTCTGCTGGGAAGCGGGTCCATAAAAATCACCAACGTTCCTGTATATTAGCACTTCCTCATATTTACCCAGAGTCTGCCGTTCCCTTCCTCAGCGTTAGAGCATTGCTTCACTTCTCTCAAGAGTCGAGACAATGGTGAAATAAGATCCTCAAACAATAATGATTTAGAAACCGGGAAATAAATCAACACACCATATGACATTAAAAAAATAATTAGATTTGGCACATTCCAATGCTGAATGAGAAAATGGTAAACCTGCAGTTTGTACATTACATACATTTTAAATGTGATAGTTAGATGTATGAGATACTTGCATATATTTAAGTCAAAGCAGATTTTGTTAGAATAATACATTCGGTTTAGTGCAGATCTGGGTTGATTGACTGTTTGGACGAATTCTGTATCTTAGAAGCCCCATACAGACGTCTAACCATAGAAACATGGAAACATAGAATGTGACGGCAGATAAGAACCATTCGGCCCCTCTAGTCTGCCCAATTTTCTAAATACTTTCATTAGTCCCTGGCCTTATCTTATAGTTAGGATAGCCTTATGCCTATCCCATGCATGCTTAAACTCTTAATGTGTTAACCTCTACCACTTCAGCTGGAAGGCTATTCCATGCGTCCACTACCCTCTCTGTAAAGCAATACTTCCTGAAATTAATTAATTTAAGACTATGTCCTCTTGTTGTGGTAGTTTTACTTCTTTTAAATATAGTCTCCTCTATAGTCTCCTCCTTTACTGTGTTAATTCCCTTTATGTATTTAAATGTTTCTATCCTATTCCACGTGTCTCGTCTTTTCTCCAAGCTATACATAACCAGGCAAATGACTAGTGCGATGTCTGATTCAGTATTTAACTTTCCGAACCGTCACCTGAACGAGTCTAAAACTATATTTTTGGGGGAAAAAATGATTAAGCTGAACTAAAATATTCCACCATGCCGAAGTCTAGAATTTATGAGAATGTAGAGAACAGTAAAAAGCACAATAGCTTCAGGAGTCAAACAGGCTTTAGCTCACTCGGGCCACTACTGCCAGAGGGAACCAATACTATTTGCATATCAGACTGATCCCTCCACAAGGGCAGCCAGAATCTAACATTTGACAGATCTCCTAAGATAAGAAACGCAGCAGCTCCATTTGATAATTTTGTCTTTGTTTGGACCTC